TGGCCCAAGTGCTTGGGCCCCTGCACTCACATGGGAGACCCAGAGGAAGCTCCTGGCTCCTGGCTTCTAATAGGCCCAACTCCAGCCATTGAGACCATTTGCAGAGTGAACCAGCAGATGAAGACCTCTCTCTCTCTGCCTCTGCCTCTCTGTAACTCTGCCTCTCAAATAAATAAATCTTAAAAAAAAAAAAAAAAGAGAGAGAGAGAAAAATAGTGGTGTCAATGGCTACTGGTATGAAAATGTCTTTGGTACCAGGCATAGCTGAGGGCTCTACTCTGTGGACTTTAATATTTTTTTAAAAAGATTTATTTATTTGAAAGGCAGAGTTACAGAGAGGCAGAGGCAGAGAGAGAGAGAGAGAGAGAGGTCTTCCATCCACTTATTCACTCCCCAGATGGCCACAATGGCCTGAGCTGAGCTGATCTAAAGCCAGGAGCCAGGAGTTTCTTCCAGGTCTCCCACATGGGTGCAGGGGTCTAAGGACTTGGGCCATCTTCTGAATACCCAGGTCATAGCAGAGAGCTGGATAGGAAGTGGAGCAGCCGGGACTCAAACTGACGCTCATATGGGATGCCGGCACTGCAGGCGGTGGCTTTACCTGCTACGCCACAGTGCCAGCCCCTCCATGGACTTTCAACCCTCAAATGCTGTGGGTGTAGGTACATTCCCATTTTACAGATGAAAACACTGAGAGGTTCAGCCTTTGTCCTGACTGTCAAGGAACAGCTTACTATTTTATTCCTTATAGTATTTTTTTTGTTCTACTTAATACCATTGGCTGAACTCTTCAATTAACACACAATTATTCTTAGGTGTTTAAATTTACTGAAAAGTGACCCCTGTTAAATTTAAGAGTGGGAATAAGAGAGGGGGGAGATGCACAGTTTGGCACATGCCCACGTGGACTTACCCCTAATGGTAGAGCTAGAAATGTGCTGGGGATTCCAAATCAATCCCATTAAGATGGCATATACCGGCCGGCGCCGCAGCTCACTAGGCTAATCCTCCGCCTTGCGGCGCTAGCACACCAGGTTCTAGTCCTGGTCGGGGTGCCGGATTCTGTCCCGGTTGCCCCTCTTCCAGGCCAGCTCTCTGCTGTGGCCAGGGAGTGCAGTGGAGGATGGCCCAAGTGCTTGGGCCCTGCACCGCATGGGAGACCAGGATAAGTACCTGGCTCCTGCCATCGGATCAGCGCAGTGCGCCGGCCGCAGCACGCCGGCCGTGGCGGCCATTGGAGGGTGAACCAATGGCAAAAGGAAGACCTTTCTCTCTCTCTCTCTCTCTCTCTCTCTCACTGTCCACTCTGCCTGTCAAAAAAAAAAAAAAAAAAAAAGATGGCATATACCAATGCCATCTTACCAGTCAAAGTGATCAGTTTAAGTTCATAATTGATCATAAAGATAGGACTGATTGTCAAAGGGATCACATAAACAAGACTAGTGTCTGCTAATACTAACTGATAGAATAAAAAAGGAGAGAACAATCCAACATGGGAAGTGGGATACACAGCAGACTCATAGAATAGCAGATGTCCTAAACAGCACTGTGGCCTCAGAATTAGCCCGTAAGGCATTCAGATCTGGCTAAAAAGACTATGAGAGTATTTCAGGCATGGAAAGCCAAGACACTATGGCAAAACAAACAAACAAAAAAACAACAACAACAAAAACAAAACAAAACAAAACACCTAAATGAAAGATCTCTGTGAGTGAGATCCCAGTGGAAAGAACGGGCCATCAAAGAAGAAGGTACCTTTCTCTGAAGGGAGGAGAGAACTTCCACTTTGACTATGGCCTTGTCTAAATAAGATCGGAGTTGGTGAACTCAAGAGGCTTCCATAGCCGTGGCAGCTCATGACAAGAACCTTGGGTGATTACTGACGTCAGAAATAAGAGTGTCAGTTGTTAAATCAACAGCGGGAGTCACTGTGCACTTAATCCCCATTTGGATCTCTGTCCTTAATGTTGTTGTACTGTGTGAATTAACGGTAAAACTAGTACTCAAACATACTTTATACTTTGTGTTTCTGTGTGGGTGCAAACTGTTGAAATCTTTACTTAGTAAATACTAAGTTGATCTTCTGTATATAAAGATAATTGAAAATGAATCTTGATGAAGAATGGGATGGGAGAGGGAGTAGGAGATGGGATGGTTGTGGGTGGGAGGGAGGTTATGGGGGGAAAAGCCGCTATAATCCAAAAGTTATACTTTTGAAATTTATATTTATTAAATAAAAGTTTTTTAAAAAGGCATAACATAACAAAAAAAAAAAAAAAAAAAAAAGAAAGAAAGAAAATACTGAGAGGCATCGCTGCCTCAAGTCCACCATGTGCTTACTGTCTGCACTATGCGACCAGTGAAGGTACTGTTTGAGTCATCACGGGCTATTTATGGAACTGAAAATTTCACTTTTTATTTATTTTTTTCTTGAAGATTTATTTATTTACTTGAAAAGAGTAAGAGAAAATCTTTCATCTGCTGGTTCACTCCCCAAATGACCACAACAGCCAGGTCTGAGCCAGGCTGAAGCCAAGAGCCTGGAACTCATCTGAGCCTTCCACATAGGTGGCAGGGGCCCAAGCACTTGGGCCATCTTCTGCTGCTTTCCCAGGCTGGATTGGAAGCAAGGCAGCTAGGACTCTAACTGGCACTCTGATATGGTATGCTGGCTTCACCGGCAGTGGTTTAACCCACATTGCCACAATGCTGGTCTCTTTACCTTTGTATTAATAAAATTTATTTATTTTTAAAGACAGAAAGATCTTCCATCCATTGGTTCATGCTCTTAATGGCTGCAACAGCCATGGCTGATCCAGGCCTAAGCCAGGACATCTGGGTCTCCTGTGTGGGTAGCAGGGGCCCAAGCGCTTGGGCCATCATTAGTTGCTTTCCCAGGCACATTAACAGGAGCTGGATCCAAGTGGAGCACCCAGGACTTTCCCTCCCTCCCTTCCTTTCACAGGTAGTTATAGACAGTGAGAGAGAGACAGAGAGAAAGGTCTTCCTTCCGTTGGTTCACTCCCCAAATGGCTGCCACGGCCAGTGCAGTGCCGATCCGAAGCCAGGACCCAGGTGCTTCTTCCTGGTCTCCCATGCAGGTGCAGGGGCCCAAGCACCTGGGCCATCCTCCACTGCCCTCCCTGGCCACAGCAGAGAGCTGGACTGGAATAGGGGCAATTGGGACTAGAAGCCGGCGCCCATTTGGGATGCCGGCACCGCAGGTGGAGGATTAGCCAAGTGAGCCACAGCACCGGCCAGGACTTGCTGTTTCTAAACACAACGTGCTTCATTGCTGTGTGCTAGCACGAGATCCACTCAGGTTTTCTCCCCTCACTTGCGCTTTTGACACTTGGTGTTCCCTCCTCCAGCGTTCTCCCTTTGAGGGAGTTCCCAATAATCCCATTTTGTTTGTTGAAGTTTGTCCTTTTTTCTGGGTAGGTTCCCCTCTTACCTGTCCCAGTTTCAGCATTCACTTAGCCTGATCCAGATCACCGGCGCGAAGCCAAGGTGACGCCCAGTTCACGTGGACCCACTGTGCCCTCACTGGCTGGTTTCTCTCTGAAACTGCTGTCAGAGGAGTTTCAGGGAACACCTTGCTGCTCCAGCTGCAGTCCCCAGACCAGCAGCACCCAAGAGCTTGTAAGAAAAACAGAATCTCTGGGCTATGGCCGATTGAGGATCCATCTGCAGTTTTAATAGAATCCCCAGGTGACTCACATGCATGGAATAGGTGCCTTCTAAGGTCCTTATAGTTCCAGAAGCCTCTGCTATGGCTGAAGACAAATTTATGCAGCTGTTGTTGACCCCTGGCTCTGCAGTGCACTGTGTGTCCCTGACAAGTAACTTGACCTTTCTGTGCCCATATCTCTTCACCCATAAAATCGCCCCTCCCTCAGAGAGTTCTTTATAATACACTTAGCACAGTGCCTGGCACACGGCAGGTGCCACAGAAGTGTTGGCCACCTGAATAGCGAGCAAGCTTTCACAAATCCCTGTTCAGTGGTTTAAGAGGAAACGGGCTGGCACTCTGGCGCAGTGGGTTAAAGCTCTGGCCTGCAGCGCTGGCATCGGCATCCCAAATGGGCACTGGTTCAAGTCCCAGCTGCTTCATTTTCAATTCAGCTCTCTGCTATGGCCTGGGAAAAGCAGTAGAAGATGGCCCAAGGCCGGTGCCACAGCTCACTAGGCTAATCCTCCGCCTGTGACGCCGGCACACCGGGTTCTAGTCCTGGTTGAGGCACCGGATTCTGTCCCGGTTGCTCCTCTTCCAGTCCAGCTCTCTGCTGTGGCCCAGGAGTGCAGTGGAGGATGGCCCAAGTGCTTGGGCCCTGCACCCCATGGGAGACCAGAAGCACCTGGCTCCTGGCTTCAGATCGGCATGGTACACCGGCTGTGGCGGCCATTTGGGGGGTGAACCAACGGCAAAGGAAGACCTTTCTCTCTCTCTCTCTCTCTCTCTCTCTCTCTCTCTCTAACTATTCCTGTCAAAAAAAAAAGATCGCCCAAATCCTTGGGTCCCTTGCACCCACGTGGGAGACCTGGAAGACACTCCTGGCTCCCAGTCAGCTCAGCTCTGTGGCCAATTGGGGAATTAACCAGCAGAGGAAGACTCTTCTCTGTCTCCGTAACTCTTTCAAATAAATAAAATAAATTAAAAAAAAAAAAAAAAAAAAGTCAGGTCTGAGGGTGACAGGGGCACCGCTTCATTGCAGAATATCCTGCATGCCTGGGTATGTGGTTGGGGACTTCAGGCCCAGACGCTGCCCTGAGCAGCTGGCCAAGATCCTGACTTCTTAGGACCTGAGGACACAGAGGGGGCAGAGCCTTCTAGCGTTCCCCACTGATAGTGCTGCCTGTAGGACAGAACCTGGATCCCTCCAGGCGTGCCAGGCCCTGCCGGAGCACCAGGCAGCACTTCCTCTAGGGGCTGGAAGATCGTGACGTTGCTGTTCAATGGAAGCTGTGAAGATCAGTGGGAAATAAAAACAGGACAAATCTTGTGTAAAATGAACGAGCATTTCTTATTATGGGACAGGGAGTGTGAGAAGGGCTGGTCCCCCAGTGCGCAGGTGTTAGTTACAATCAAATGGCTTCTACCTCCTGCAAGCGGGGGCGCCCCATCCCCATGGGCACACTGCACTCTCCTGCCAGCAAGCAGCCTCGGGTCACATTCTGCGCACGCGCTCCTCCAGGGCCTGCAGCTCAGCCAGCACCTCCTTGGGCAGGTCCTCGTTGACCTGCTCTGTCAGGTAGCTCCGAATGTCACGCACCTCCTGTTCCCAGAAGTCCTTGGGGAGCGAGAAGAGCTGAGTGGTGTCTATGGCTCCCAGGCCGCTGAGATTCAAGGCCCCTTCCTTGGGCACCAGCCCGATGGGGGTCTCTCGGGCACTCTCCTCGCCCTCTAAGCGCCGGCAGATCCAGTCTAGCACACGAGAATTCTCCCCAAAGCCTGGCCACAGGAAGCGGCCTGCCTCATCGCGCCGGAACCAGTTGACGTGGAAGATGCGTGGCAGCTGGGCCCCCTTGCGCCCCTCCATGCTCAGCCAGTGTTCTAGGTAGCGCCCAAAGTTGTAGCCGAAAAAGGGCCGCATGGCGAATGGGTCGTGCATGACAATTTTGCCTGGGGAGGAGAGCGGGATGGGTAAGGAATCTTCTGCCTCCCTGGTGAGGGAAGGGCACCCTGCAGCCGGCTGGAGGACACTGTGGGAGGCTGAGGGTTTGGGGTGTCCCCAGGGCAAGAGAGAGGGAGGAACAGGGAGCAAAGGCAGAAGCGGGAAGCGGCGCGGCCGGAGGCAGGTGTGGCTTGGGGTGGGCTCGGAGGAGGGCACGGCGGGCAGGGCGCTCACCTTTGTGCTCAGCTGCTGCAGTGGACTCAGAGCGCATGGCACTGCCCACGAACACCCCGTGACGCCAGTTGAAGGCCTCGTAAACCAGGGGTACCCCTACAACACCAACAGACATGGTCACAGGCCGCTCTCTCCTCTGCATCCTCACGGCTCCCCTTCTGGTGATCACTACTCTTAGTCTCTTCCTCCAAAGACCTTGGTTCTCCCATTTCCAGACCCCAGGCGTCCCTCCAGGCTTGCAGTCACCAGGGGAGAACTCTGAAGACAGAACTACAGCTGGGGATCTGGGTGGAGGCTCCCTGTGTGTTACGTATACCTGGGAGCTGGGGCAGGCATTTGGCACAAGGGTTAAGCTGCTGCTTGGGATGCCTGCATCCCGTGTTGGAGTGCCTGGCTTCAAGGCCTGGCTCTGCTCCCAATTCTAGTTTCCCACTAACGTGTGCATTAGGTAGCAGGTGATGGCCCAAGTATTTGGGTCTTTGCCACCCATGTGGAAGACCTGGATTGGGTTTCTGACTTCTGGCTTTGGCCTGGCCTAGTCCTGGCTGTTGCAGGCATCTAAGTGAACCAGTGGATAGAGGTCTCTCTCTCTCTGTATCTCAAATAACAATGAAGACATAAGTGGAAAGTAAGTAAATAAGGAGGTGGGCCCTGATACAGTGCTAGACCTTTCACCAAGAAAGCACGGAGCCGACACGTTGCTCACCTTTGGGTCTGCGGCCTCCAAAGATGATGGCATCAATGGGGACACCCTCTGGGGCCTCCCAAGCCGGGTCCATGATGGGGCACTGCCGAGCCGGGGCACAGAAGCGAGAGTTGGGATGTGCACAGGGCTCCTTGTCACCTGGCAGAGGAAATACAAATACCATCACTTCCAAGGTCATGTCCGCCCAACACACACATACGTGTGTACACACTCTTGTGCAACTTCTTTTTGCCTCATTAGTTTCCAACAACCTGTGTGGTAAGGAAGAGGAGAAAGGGACCAGGATGTTTCCCCCAAAAAATGGGTTACTTATCCGAAATGGGGCCGCCGGCTGAGCTGTGTGAGGAAAGAGTGGAAGAGGAATCGGGATGCGGCAGGCCACTGACATTTGCACCCAGCTATAGGCACTTGGCATTGACCAGGGCTCAAGCGGATGAGGCTGGATATTGGCGTAAGGTTATAATTCCCCCCCAGAAACTATTTATGGGATTATTATGTAAATAAACTTCTAAACCTGCAGCAAAAGCTGAGAATGCCAGGTCAGCATTTCAGAAGTCACCTTCCCACCAGCAAACCAGGGAAGACAGACTCTCCTGAGCTATCAGAATCATGCAGACAGAAATCAATGTTAAAGCTAACAAAATCCCAATGGTATCTCCTGATGATGGAGTGGTAGGGCTTAAGCAACACAGGAAGGGACATCGCCTGGGCAGGTGTAACCTGAGAGAGGAGGGCCCAGTGAGCGGCACAGGTGTGAAGCAGTGCGGTACCTGGGGGTGAGGGAGCCACAGAGCCAGCACCCCCTCCTCTCCCACCCGCCAGCTCCTGCTTCCGCTCTCGAGAACAGCCCTCCCCGCATGAGCCCCCACGCAGAACCCCATGCCATAGGGTACTGCCCTGGGAACTGAAGCTGGGCCCTCGGCGCCCTCGCTCTACCCCTGATTTCAGAGATGATGAAAGGGTTGGGGAACGAGTCTGTGGGGAAGGATGATAGTTTCTCGAATTTCTCAGTTGGGTGGGAAAGACTGAGGGAGACTTAATAACGGTCTTGGAGAAAATGAAGGGTGATTACATGAGGAGGGCAACTGTTGGGCCAGCCTGGAAACCGGAAGACAAGCTCAGCACCACAGCCCTCCCTCCCCCACCACGCTCTTTGCTTGCACCCTGGGCCTCCAGGCTTTCTGCCCATAGGCCATGGAATACCAGAGGCCCAGGGTGCAGGGTGCAGGGGATGGTGGGGGCCCCAAGGCACTGGCTGATGACAGGGTGGAGAAGCTTCTGGGAAGGACTAAAGCACTGGTCCGGCTGGGCTGGGCTGGGCTGGACTGAGGTCTGTGCGCTGTAGGGACGGGGGAGTGGGCGGGTGACAGTACTGCCCTCCAGACAACGGCTATTACACAAGGCGGCAGTGGGAGCCCAGGAATGGGAGAGCTGGCTGGAGGACGAGGCTGGCTTCCACTTCCCTGGTGGCTCAGGCTACAGATTGGGCTTTGAGCCCAAGTCTTTCTGTAGCAATTTCCAAAGTAGTATCCTTTCTTTTCCTTTTTTTTTTTTTTTTTTTAAATCCACCTTATATTTCTTACTGAGAACGTACTATGTGTTTAGCAATGTGGGGAACACTTTTTATTCACTGTTTAATGTAATCCTCCAACAACCTTGAGACGGGGACTGTAACAACTACACCCATCTAACTGATGGTGAGGGTGAATCGAGGGAGGGTAAGTAGCTTAGCCAAATCACAAAACCAACGATTGACGTACTTGGAACATGAACTGAGACCTCGCCTGGAGCTGGGACCTGCAAATATTTGTAACTCCCTGTGTCTCCCACAGACCTCAGATGACAGCTGGGGGCTGTGGAGAAGGCTTGTCCATCACTAGGGTGCTGAGCTCTGGGGGGCTGTGCCACCACACCACGACTTCCCCAGCCCACCTACCGGGTTTCCAGGGTTTGCCCAGCCAGGAGGTCACGGTGACACCAGGTGGAAGGGGTTGGTCGATGCCCTCCCAGTACACGCCTCCATCACTGGTCTCAGCCACGTTGGTAAAGAGAGTGTTGCTCTGGATTGTGGCCATGGCATTGGGATTGGTGGTGGCAGAGGTGCCAGGGGCCACACCGAAGAAGCCGTTCTCAGGGTTGATGGCCCGGAGTCGACCTGTTGGGAAGGAAAGTGAAAGGAAGGAAGTCCATCCAGGGAAAGTTGAGACGTGAGGCTGGAGAAGAGCCTGCTCTACGCCTCTTGCCCTGAACTAGACCCTAGAGCGGATGGGGAAAGGCTCTGAGGTGCTAGGGTGGGAGGCGTGGGTCGGGGCCGGCTATTTAGGAAAAGGCTCTCAGTAACAAACTTCACTGTGAAGACCACGGGACAGAGTCAGTCTCCGGCCAGAGCCCGAGCCCAGGGCATGACCCAAGGGGCCCTCACCTTCGCTGTCAAACCTCATCCAGGCGATGTCATCCCCCACACACTCCACTTTCCAGCCCGGCAGCGTGGGCCGCATCATGGCCAGGTTCGTCTTGCCACAGGCGCTGGGGAAGGCGGCTGCCACGTAGCGCTTCTTCCCTGCGGGGCTGGTGATGCCCAGGATCTGCACGTGGGGGAAGAGAGGGGGGACATGGTCAGGGCACGGGCCGCAGGAGGGGGGGCAGGGGCTCACTCACAGGGAGGACTGATGTGTATCTATCTATTTATTTAAAATGTATTTGAAAGGCAGAGACGGACAGAGTTCCCATCTGCTGGTTCACCCCCCGAATGCCCACAACAGCAAAGGCTGGGCCAGGCCAAAGCCAAGAGCCAGGAATTCACTCCAGGTCTTGCATATGAGTGGCAGGAACCCAATTACTTAAGCCGTCATCACTGCCTACCCGGGCCTGCGTTAGCAGGAAGCTGGAGTTGGGAAGCGGACCCAGGTTACTCTGATTTTCAACGTGGGCATCTTAACTGGTATCTTAATCTCTAGGCTGAATGCCCATGCCAATGTTTATTCACTGAACAGGTGCACTGCCCTGCTACCAGGCCTGGAATATCCATCAGGGGAAGCCCTGACGTCCAGCAGCCCAGAACCAAAGTTTTGGGCAGAGTCCTTGCCCACCAGCCTGGCACCTGGCAGGGGGCAGGCGAGGCTGAGGCAGACTGGTTGGGCCCCGCCCCTGCCCCAGCCCCTGCCGCTGCCTGGATCTTCACCAGGCCCTCACCAGCATGTGCTCCGCCAGCCAGCCCTCATCCCGGGCCAGCCGCGAGGCGATGCGCAGGGCAAAGCACTTCTTGCCCAGCAGGGAGTTGCCACCATAGCCGCTGCCGAAGGAGACGATCTCCCGCTGGTCAGGCACGTGGCCAATCAGGGTTTTCTCTGGGTTGCATGGCCACTGGCTCACCGGATCCCCTGGGGACAATGGGGTCATGGGGCTGCTGGCAGTGGCATCTGGAACTGGGGTGTCAGGGGTTCGAGGGATCAGGGATTGGCAGGAGAGATACTCTGCAAGGATGGGCTCAAGCCCCTCACCTCCTAACAGCCATCGGCTCCCATGCCCCTGTTTTTGAGGCTGGGGGCTGATGTTTCTCAATGTTGTGCAAACTGCTCTGTGATCACAGCCTCACCCGCGGCCCAGACCGCTGTCCTGGCTCCTGGGGATCAGGATTCAGCAAGGACAGGTTCTCAGGGTCCAGGGCTGAGTGGGACTTGGGGATTCTCCAAGCACAAGAAGGCCTCTGTGTGCTCTCCTGGGCTGAGCAGGGGCTCACCTGGCCCAGTGAGGGGCTGGCCCACGGAGTGCAGACACTTGACAAAGTCCCCATCTCCCAGGGCCTGAAGCACGGGCGTCCCCAGCCGCGTCATAATGCGCATGCTCGCCACCACGTAGGCCGAGTCGGTGAGCTGTACCCCGATGCGGGCCAGCGGGGAGCCCACGGGGCCCATGCTGAATGGAAGCACGTACATGGTGCGGCCTGCAAAGGAAAAGCAATCCCTGGATGAAGGCTCCAAACCTGGTTCCACCCCCTGTACCCCAGCCTTGGGGTCCCCACCCTGGTTACCCTGCATGCAGCCCGGAAACCTCTCGTCCACAGCTCGCTGGAATTCAGCTGGGGACATCCAGTTGCCCAGCTGTCCACGGGCCCCACCAGCTGGTAGTGGCACCGTGTCCCGCTGAGAGGGGGTCACGATCACCGTCTTGCTCTCTACGCGTGCCACATCCTTGGGGTCTGTGCGGGCCAGCCAGCTGGGGAGAGGGGATTGTCAGGAAGATGCTGGCCAGCAGCTCTCCCTCGTCCCCAGACCTACTTCTTCAAGTTCAACTGACTCCGGGTCTTCTGTTGGCCTTATTTGTTCCCAGCCAATCTCATCTCAGTCCCTTCCTTCAGGCTGTGTCTCATCTAAGAGAATGTGGTTTCCCAAGGCCCCAGCCCCTGGGGAGCCTCTGCCCCTGGCAAAAGCTCCCTGAACTGGGGCGGGGAGTGGGGAGAGGGAAAGGGGAGGAAAGAGAGGAGGAGGAGGGTGGTGGGGAAATGGAGGAGAAGGAGGAGAAAGAGAACAACAAGAAGAAAAGCTCTTATTTGGATCAGCTTCTTCACTTCATATAAAAGTACAAAGACACTTCAAAATGTTCATGGAAAATGGAATTAAAAACTAACTTTATTTTGATACAAAAAAGTTTGAAATCCATGCACATAAGGGGTCTTCAAAAAAGTTTGTGGAAAATGCACATTATGGAAAAAACCCTGCATGTATCTCAAGACTTTGGGCACCAAAAAACTTTATCTGGCCAGCGCAGCGGCTCACTAGGCTAATCCTCCACCTAGCGGCGCCGGCACACCGGGTTCTAGTCCCGGTCGGGGCGCCGGATTCTGTCCCGGTTGCCCCTCTTCCAGGCCAGCTCTCTGCTGTGCCAGGGAGTGCAGTGGAGGATGGCCCAGGTGCTTGGGCCCTGCACCCCATGGGAGACCAGGAGAAGCACCTGGCTCCTGCCTTCGGATCACCGTGGCGGCCATTGGAGGGTGAACCAACGGAAAAGGAAGACCTTTCTCTCTGTCTCTCTCTCTCACTGTCCACTCTGCCTGTCAAAAAAACAAACAAACAAGCAACAACAACAACAAAACAACAAAAACTTTATCTTTCTTTAAAAAAAAAAAAAAAGGTCACAATGGCCACAACAGCCAGGGCTGGGCCAGGCCAAAGCCAGGAGCTTTTTTCAGGTCTCCCACGTGGGTGCAGGGGCCCAAACATTTGGGCCATCTTCTGCTGCTTTCCCCAGGCCATAGCAGAGAGCTGGATCAGAAGTGGAGTGGCCGGCACAAGAACTGGTGCCCACCTGGGGTGCTGGATCACAGGCGGCCAGCCCGGATAAACTTATCTTTTAATTGAAATTTCCCATGAACTTTTCGAGTACCCTTGCATGGCCAGCCCGGATAAACTTATCTTTTAATTGAAATTTCCCATGAACTTTTCGGAGTACCCTTGCACTGATTAGGCCTAGTTCCTGTGTCTTTCCCCCAGAGCTCCCATTCTTGCTCATCCTTTTAGGATGGCTTAAATTCGATTTTTGTCTTCGTGAACCCAACGTGGCCTCCATTCAAAGAGATGGCCCCATCTCACAGGTCGCTTGGTTCAAGGCTTACCAGTTATTGTACTTGGGGAGCTTTCGGATGAGCCCCTGCTGCTCCAGCAGGGTCAGTGTGGCAGTATTCTCGGCCTCGGTCCCATCACAGATGTGGATGCTCTCTGGTTGGCACAGGCGGGCACTGCGCTCCACGAAGTCCCGGACTCCAGCAGGCAGCTGGCCCAGATCTCCACTGAGCACGCGCAGGGTCTGGACGCTGCGGCATGACGACCAGCCCCAGGGGCTCAGCCCACGCCAGCTAAGCCTGCAAGAGAAGAAACAAGGAGGCAATGGGCCCATTGCTGCCGCGGATGGTGGACAAGTGTATGTGGGGAATGTATGTGTATGATGGAAAACTGGGGCCTCTGGGGAGCGGGATAAAGCATGTCCAGATGCAGGCACCATGAAGAACAGGTTGGGGTTGGTGTGTGGGATGGGTGCGGGCCCCAGGCATCTTGTGGCCTTTATGGATTTAATGAGGACATCTGCTGGTCAGCATGGGATGGGGATGGCCAAATGGGCACAAAGGCACTTAGCTAGCTGTGCAGAAGTGCACACGTGGGCCTGCTGATGTTAATGCATGCACAGCCTGTGCCCATGCTTCAGCATGTCTGCTCAGTGTTCAAAAAGAAGCAGGGTATAGAGACACTGTCCAGGGAACAGTGTGTAGCCCCTTACCCGTGTTCTTTCCACTCTCAAGTATAGTTGGAAAAGACCAAAGCCACCAACCAACCAAAGTGTACTTTTCTATAAGTAAAAATCAGCAGCTGTTTTCATTTTTTTTTTTTTTCCTGCGGGCGTGGATGGTGTCAGGCTGTGAGAGCCTTGAGCACAGGGCCCGGTCTTCCAGGTGGGACAGCCTTCTTCCAGGGCCAGCTTTCTAGATTAGGACACTTGCAGGATACTGGGGTTGCAGGCACCAGATCTGCTGCTGCCCACCTGGGCCAGCAATGATGGCATAACATGTTCCCACTGAGTCGGGGTTTTCTGAACTGTGTGGAAGGTTGACCATTGGGAAATGAGTGTTACTGGCTGGGGCTCAGGCTCCAGCTCCCAGGAGGGTCTTTTATGGTCCGTCACACTCCAGGGAGAAAGAGAACTAGGGTCTCTGTGGCTGGCTTGCAGCCAGGGTGCAGCGACCAGAGAGTGCAAAGGCTAAAGCCTCCCTCACCAGAAACTGCCCCCACGCCAGGACTGTGAGAAGTGCTTCCCTCTCCCTTTCCTGGAAGCCACACGGCCTGGAGAACTGCTGTGGGTAGCAGCGTGGACCAACAGGCTGCAGGAAGCTCAGGCAAAGAGGTGTAAGCTCAGGGAAGGGAGAAAGCTCAGATCCCGGATGTGGGAGCTTGAGTTCACTGGAGTGGAAGCTGAGGTGGTTTCCACCAGTCAGAGCAGGATGGAGCCCAGCATGGCCAGGAGCAGGGGAGCCAGCCTCTAGGCCCTGGGTCTGTTCCTGCCTCAGAGAATCTTCCCTGAGCATTCATTGTAAAGGCACTCCCCCCACGGGGCACCTGGTGACCCAATGATCCCTTGCCTCCATCTCCCCTAAGCAGGACCCTCTCTCCCCTTCCAAGTGGAACCAGCTGCAGGGCAGACATGGGGTCAGTTGACTCTGGGACAAAAGGAGGAGAGAGCCTGTACAGGGATGGACACACAGGCAGGACGCACCTAGGGGCTCCAGGCCTGGGGAGGGCAAGAAGCCAGCCATGCAACAAACGAAGGCAGCTTGGCCCCCTCCTGCCCCATTGCTACCCTCCCTCCCCTGGCTCCAGGTCCCTCTGGCTGTGTTGGGCTTCCCGCCAGGTTGCAGCCGAGGTCAGATGTTTACCTTCTACCATCTTTAGGGAGCGCTGGGCTCAGGGCCCCCAGAGACTCGTGCACCTTGGCCCCAAGGCCCCACCACTGCTTACAGCACCCCCAGGGCTCTCAGCGCGTTCTATCTGGGAAGGAAAGGAGAGCACCCGGAGACAGGGCTCCGCAGGGGCGAGTGAACAGGGGAGGAAGTTCTGAAGTCGCAGACAGAGACGGCGCGGTCAGAGACCAGCGAGGCGCCGAGAGGGAGGAGCGGACGGGGACGAGCGCGCCGGGCGCGCGGCCGGCCGACCTCAGGCGGCGCGGATCCTAGAACCGTCGCCCCCCGCCCGCCTCCGCCGAGGATGGGAGGCCGGGAGGGGTCGGCCCCAAGGGGGCGAGAGCGGCCGCAGGTGCGGGTCGGCCCCAGGCTGGGGGGAATGGGGTGGTCACTCACCGCAGGCCGGGGCGGTACGCAGCGGCCATGGCACCGGGGCGGGGGCTGCGGGGTGGTCACGGAACCGAGGAGCCGGGGAGACGTGGGAGACGTGAGAGACGGGGAAGTAGAGAGCAGGGCGAAGCAGCGGGAGCTGAGGCTGGGCGGGAGGCGCTTAAAAAGGAGGCGGGCGGGCCAGGGGCGGTACCTAGCGAGGCCGGCGCGACCCACTCTCCGCCCAGCCCCGCCGGCCGCCGTGCTCCCGGGGCCGGTCGGCCGCCCTCCGCCCCGCATCCTAGCCCCCAAACCCATCTCTCCCATTGGCGGACAGTGCCCGCTCCGCGCCTTCCCCAACCGCGACCCGGGCCCGCCCCCGCCAGGCCACGCCCCCGCCAGGCCACGCCGCCCGCCGGTGATGTAACTTTGAGGACTCTTGCTCCCTCCCGGGAGATAGGGACTGAGAGACACTGGGTGGCAAACAAGCTGGGAAGGAGGGAGGAGGCCAGGGGAACCGCGGGGGCTGGATTCTAGAAGCTGGGGGCTGGGCATTACCTATCCAGTTCGTCCTGGGGATGGACGCTCGCAGCCCCAGGCTGTTTGCTCGGTTTCCCAAGGCTCCTGTGCTAAGGCCTTGTAGTCCCCAACTCCAGAAGTCCCGTTTCTTCTCCTGCCCAGGGCGCCTTTCTGCTGTGCCGTGAAATGGTGCGGCTGCCCACCCCAGAGTGGCTCTCTTGGTCCTCCCTCTGACCTGGCCATGTTTTCACACTCCCCTGAAGAACTCATCCGCGACCACCAAACTACCACCATGAAGGTAATTTCTCAAGAGGTGTCGCTATCCAGACGTCTGTCTTCACCCTGTGATTGCCGGACGTTCCCCGAAATGCTCCAGCACCTGAAACTCGGCATGTCCAAGCATCCACTCCCTCGTTCTGGGAATAGCACCCCGACTTTCCTTTGGGGAACCCTCTGCTTACTCTGTGTGGTGGGGTGGGTTGCACTCACCTTTCCTTGGAGGACCCTCTCCCTATAGCCAGTTTGTGTGTTCCCTGCTCTGGCCATGGCTGTTGGGTGTCCCGGGGTGGGATTGGGGGTCCCTCTGTGGGACTTTGTCTGTAAACCTGGAAATGAGCCCTTTCTGCCGACATTGCTGAGCTGTAGAATACTCACCTCTGTGTGTTGGCTTGGCACTGGAGGCGGGAACCTGCCAGGGCAGAAGGCAGCCTGGGGAGGCAGAGCAGAGGAACGGATTTCTGCTGTTGGTTATAAGAATTAACACATTTCTTGTTCAAGCTAACTTTTAAAAGAGATTTTTTGGCTGGTGCCGTGGCTCACTAGGCTAATCCTCCCCTGTGGCGCCGGTACCTGGGTTCTAGTCCCAGTTGGGGTGCTGGAATCTGTCCCGGTTGCTCCTCTTCCAGTCCAGCTCTCTGCTGTGGCCAGGGAAGGCAGTGGAGGATGGCCCAAGTGCTTGGGCCCTGCACCCGCATGGGAGACCAGGAGGAAGCACCTGGCACCTGGCTTCGGATCGGTGCAGCGCGCTGGCCGTAGCAGCCACCTGGGGGGTGAACCAATGGAAAAAAAAAAGGAAGACCTTTCTCTCTGTCTCTCTAACTCTCACTGTCTAACTCTGCCTGTCAAAAAAAATTTTTTAAAGAGTTTTTTTATATATTTGGAAGGCTGAGTTTTACAGAGAGAGAGATAGAGAGAACTATTCCATCTGCTGGTTCACTTTCCAAATAGCTGCAACCTGAAGCCAGGAGCCTGGAACTCCATCTGGGTCTCCCACATGTGTGCAGGGGCCCAAGCAATGGGCCATTTTCTGCTGTTTTCCCAGACACATTAGCAGGGAGCTGGATTGGGAGTGGAACAGCTGGGACTTGAACTGGTGTTTGTATGGGACGCCAGCGTCATAGGCAGCCGCTTAACCTGCTGTGCCACAACTTGGGCCCTTGAAGCGAATTTTAAAATGATTTCTGCCATGTGCAACAGAAACAGTCCTGATTCTTAGATTTCTCAGAGTCCTGTGCTGGAACATGGTGGGATGAAAAGAGCTGGCCTCCAGCCATGGGCTTTTTGCTGCTCTTGGCCATCTGTTCCCACCCATGCACAGCCTGCACCTGTATGCATTTGGACCTCTTCCCTCAGTCCTATCCAAAGTGTCCACACCTATCCTGCTGTAAACAGCTGCCTCTCAGCCACACTTTGGTTCTAAAGTTGTGCACGCTTATGACTGCATTGCCGACATTTTTTTTTTTTTTAATTTATTTGAGAGGCAGAGTTACACACAGAGAGAGGGAGAGACAGAAGAGGTCTTCCATCTGCTGGTTTCACCCCCACAAATGGCCACAACAGCCAGAGCCGGGCTGATCTGAAGCCAGGAGCTTCTTCCGGGTCTCCCACGCAGGTGCAGGACCCCAAGCACTTGGGCCATCTTCCACTGCTTCCCCAGGTGCATTAGTAGGGAGCTGGATCGGAAATAGAGCAGCTGGAACTCCAGCCTTGCCCATATGGGATGCTATGCCACAGGCAGAGGCTTAGCCTGTTAGGAAAAGAGTTGCAGATTGGTGCCTCCTCACACGGGGCACCAAAATGTTAGGAAAAGAGGTACAGAATAGAGAGGAGGCAGTGTACGAATTTATAGCCAAACCGAATTTTTCAGAGAAAATTAATTTGCAGAGATGGGTGACCAAATGCCCACATACACATTGATGGAACACGTTGCAGAAGGCCCCGACCCCCAGGGGCCAGGCCCCAGGGCCAGCCCCAGGAGGGCTGGGGCTGGGGGTGGGGGGCAGCATGCAGAGGTGAATTCCTGAAATTGGCCTTGAGGACCTGGAAAAGAATGCAGGGTGGGGTATGAAGGCAATAGGGTATGAGACCCAACTGAGGTTCAAGGGCAAGGCATACATTCCAATGCTTATCTGTCTTTTGGGTAATGAGCAAGAATGGCTGAGGTTTATATCTTTGTTCTATCATGGCCCACTAGGCCACAGTGTCGGCCCCTTGGCCATCCTTCTGAAGGTCATCTTGTTAATAATCCTGTACCTGCTCCCATGGTTGTCTGTCTCAGCAAAGGCACCACCATCTAGCCAGTTGCTCCAAAGGGGACCTGAATAAGTCTAAACTATTCTTTTCTTGTCCTCCATGGTCAATTAGACACCAGGACCTTTGGATTTGTACTTCATGGTTAGCTCTCAAACTGTGTCTGTCCCCATGGCCATTGTCTCAAGTTCAGGGCTTATCTCTCACCTGGATTCAGGTGATAGCTTCCAAGACACCTCTTGGCCTCCTGCCTCTCCAAACACCACTCCCTCTCCCTTGACCCCGGTCACACCCACACTGTGCGCACAAGTTTCCTTTGGAGAGTTGAGAGAGGAATATTGTCCATGGCGTGGCCGTGTGCCAGCTGCTCACCATGCATAAGCTCATTCCGTCTCACAGCAATCTTCATTTACAGGTGTGGACAGCGAGGCTTAGAGAGGTTCAGTGGTTTGCTCACAGTCACGCTTGTGGTCAGCAGGAGAAATGGAATCAGAATCCAGGTCCTCATGACTCTAATGACCAACTTTCCTCTCTTGCCGTCCTATAGTCCCTCTGTGATTTATCATTAAAAAATTGGATCATAACACTCTCAGTCTGAAAAATCCCTCCAGGGCTTCCGATCACTTGGCATCTGAGGTCCCTCATAATCTGGCGCTTATTTATTTAACATTACTGCTCCACCTCTGCACCTGCCGTCTTTCCTCCTTCACACTGAACACGGCATTTCCAAAGCATTTCCTTGAACTCTTTTTGCCCATCAGAACTGGTGTCAACATCGCTTCCACCTCAGTCCATTTTCTGTTGCTATAACAAAATGCCCGAGGCAAAGAAATTTACAGAACAGAAGTTTATTTGGTTCACGGCCCTGCAGGCTGGGAAGCTCAAGAGCATGGTGCTGGCATCTCTGCTCAGCAAGTGGTGAGGGCCTCATTGCTGCGTCATACCATCATACCATGTCTTCGATGAGGAGACGAGCAAGCTGCCAACTCAAGATTCTCTTTTTATAAAATCACAAGGTCCCCACCCTCATAGCCTTCCCAAAGGCCAAGCCTCTGAATACTATTAATATACAAATGTGGTGATTAAGTCCCAACACATGACCTTTGGAAGGATGCATTCAAGCCACTTCCCACCTGAGCCTCTCCTGTTTGCCTCTTATTAAATCTGTTTTCTCTGTGTTGGTTCTGTCTCATGCGTGTGCCTGTATTTCTGTGCTTACACTTTACTATGGCTGTTTTTGTATCTCTATAAACCTCACTGGAACATTAGATCATTGAGAGAATGATCTCACTTTTACTGTTTTTGTCTTAGCTCCTAGGGTATCTGGTCTGTGATAGGTACTTAATAAATGTTGGTTGAATGGAAGGACGAACAAGTCCTGCAGTTCAGAATCCTTCACCACCATGGCTTCCTTCTGTAGCTTTAGACTGAGCACGAGGCTCATGTGAGAGTTTTCTTGCATTGTTGAGTCCCCCTTATTTGGCTACTTTTTTTTAAAAGATATTTATTTGAAAGGCAGAGTTACAGAGAGGCAGAGGCAGAGAGAGAGAGAGAGAGAGAGAGAGAGAGAGAGGACTTCCATCTGTAGTTTACTCTCCAGATGACTGCAATGGCCGGAGCTGCGCCGATCTGAAGCAAGGAGCCAGGAGCTTCTTCCAGGTCTCCCGTGTGGGTGCAAGGACTTGGGCCATCTTCTACTGCTTTGCCAAGGCTATATGAGACAGCTGGATCAGAAGTGGAGCAGCTGGGATTCGAACCAGTGCCCATATGGGATTCCAGCACTGCAGGCAGCAGCTTTCCCCTCTATGCCACAGCGCCGGTCCCTGCCACCACTTTTGTTCAGTTCTTTGGGACACCCCCTTCTAGCCTAGCCCACCAGCTGGCCCAGTGTCCAAGCAGTACCACCAGGGGGCAGGGTGTGATCAGCCTTGCCCTGGTCTGCATTATCTCCTCTGGGCTCATGCCCTGGGTTCTCTCATAGACCCCCTGCCCACCATGGATGCCATGGGGTGCTGCCCAGCTCCTCCTCTGGGACTGTGGTGCTCATTGTCCCAGCCATGGAAGTGTTGGCTGAGGGTGGCTCCCAGCTGAGTACCTCCTTGAGTGCTATCTGTAGCCAGAGGAGCTGTCTTTCCAAATGTGATGCCCCAGCCGGCGCCGTGGCTCCCTAGGCTAATCCTTTGCCTTGTGGTGCCGGCACACCTGGTTCTAGCCCCGGTCGGGGCACCGGATTCTATCCCGGTTGCCCCTCTTCCAGGCCAGCTCTCTGCTGTGGCCAGGGAGTGCAGTGGAGGATGGCCCAAGTGCTTGGGCCCTCTCCCCATGGGAGACCAGGAGAAGTACCTGGCTCCTGCCATTGGATCAGCGCGGTGCGCCGGCCAACCAACGGCAAAGGGAGACCTTTCTCTCTGTCTCTCTCTCTCACTGTCCACTCTGCCTGTCAAAAAAAAAAAAAAAAAAAAAAAAAAAAAAAGCAAACCAAATGTGATGCCCCTTGCCCATGGGCAGTGTGTATCCAGTGACTGGTTGTTATAGGGGCTCAAAGACCTAGACTCCTGTCTCACTTTGGGCCAACTCTGAAGGTCCATCCCAGCTCCAGAGCCCCTTGTGGGATCAGCTGATTGCAAAGTGCAATGCAATCCCATTTTTCCCCCTCAACAATCCTGCCTCTCACTGTCTATCAAAGTCCTCCCCAGTGAAACAGCCACACATGAGGCTCTGTCTTGGAGTGTGTTTCCAGCTGGATAGAGTCCCCAAACCCAACTTGGATGCTGCATTAGCCCCCAGTCTGATTCCATTTTTGCTTTCCTCCACAAAGACAAAGTGCCGAACGATCTTTTCAAACACAGATTTGATCATATCACGCCTCAGCGGAAAGCCTTTTAAGTTGCTCCTCACTGCTTTTAGAATACAGCCCCAATCCTTAACGGGGCGCCAGGCTCTGCAGGATCCGGATTTCTTCAGTTTCACCTCTCCCCATTCTTCTCTGCTCTACTGAGCTTTTTTCAGTTGCATGGACACATCTGCGTCCTTCTGCCTCTGAGCCTTTGCGCATGTCATTCCTGTGGCCTGAAATGCCCACTCTCTCCACAAATCCAGGTGTGATTGCGTACTCACCCGAGCAGTCTCAGTTAATGTGACTCCTTTGGGTGACCTGTCCCTGCCGTCCTTGTCCCTCCTGACTCCTCAAATTAGGCCTTCATGAGATCCAAGTCAAACCCTACAGCACTCGTTCTTCTGGTTTATGGCAGTTAAAAACAGTTTGTTTTGATGTAAACATTGTAGGGCCAGAGGCAAGAATGCAAATAGAGGCTCACAAACCTTAAACATTTAGAATGTATAACTCCAGCTAACAGACCATTCAATAAAACATGCTCTGTTCTACCCCGACAAATACATACTTCTTAATGGCAATAGAAGGCCAGGTTCACATTTGGGCTATATTTGGAACCTCAGGGTTCTTCACCAGAGCTGGTGTGGGGAGAGGCAACTTGTGGTTCCTGGTTCTCAGCTGGGACCTCTTGGTCCTGACGCCGTCTTGGGCTGTGAGGAGGTTCCTGTGTACCTCGTATAATCTGCCCATCTCAACTTTATCCACAGCCTCCTGCCAGCAGCCAACTCTTGCCACCCTTTGGACCTGAGGATGTGTGCACTGATAGTGTGGTCCAGCTGTGGGAGGAGTGGGTGTTTAGCCCACATCATACATCTAAGTGCCTGGGTTCACTTTCTGGCTGCGGCTGCTGTTTCCAGCGTCAACAGCAGTGCAGAACCCAAGAGGCAGCAGTGACGGCTCCAGTACCTGGGTTCCTGCCACCCCTGTGGAAGACTGAAATTGCATTCGCGACTCCTGGCTCCAGCCTTGCCCTTCCCTGACCATTGCGGGCATTTGGGGAGTGAACTAGCAGATAGGGGCTCTCGTCCGTATCTCCGCCTCTAAAATAAAAATAAAAGAAATGGACTTGGACTCTTTGGGCAAAGAATTTTCAGGTATCTGGGATGTGGGCCTATGGGGACTGGAGTGGGCAGAGGAGGTAGGACTCAGCCAGAGGAAAGTCAAAGAGGAGCCTGGGTTACAGCCTTGGCCTACAGCACGGCATCCCATATGGGTGCTGGTTCTAGTCCCAGCTGCTCCACTTCTGACCCAACTCTCTGCTATGGCCTGGGAAAGCAGTAGAAGATGACCCAAGTGCTTGGGCCTCTGCACCCACATAGGAGACCCAGAAGAAGCTCCTGGCTTCTTCGGATTGGTGCAGCTCCGGCCGCTGCAGCCATTTGGGAGGTGAACCAACAGAGGGAAGACCTCTCTCTCTCTGTCTCTACTTCTCTCTCTAACTCTGTCTTTCAAATAAATAAATAAAAGCTCAGGGCCCAGGACTGGGTCGCTGTTGCCTGGCCCATAGAACAATAAGTTGCTTTCGCTCGGCTTTATCCGTAAGCTCCAAGCAGGCAGCATGGGCATCACCCTCAGTTACTAAAGTGTCCCCAGTGTCTAGAGCAGTCCCTAGAACAGAACAGGTGCTTAATAAATGTTCATTAAATGAATGTGGGAGATAACAAGAAGAGGTTTGAGCATTTGGGTCAATTACTGGAACTCTGGATACCAAGAGCCAGAAGTCAGCATGAGAACTGGTCTTAAGGGATTATTACTATTATTATTATTATTATTATTTTTTGACAGGCAGAGTGGACAGTGAGAGAGAGAGACAGAGAGAAAGGTCTTCCTTCTGCCGTTGGTTCACCCTTCAATGGCCGCCACGGCCGGTGCGCTGCAGCCGGCGCACTGCGCTGATCCAATGGCAGGAGCCAGGTACTTATCCTGGTCTCCCATGGGGTGCAGGGCCCAAGCACTTGGACCATCCTCCACTGCACTCCCTGGCCACAGCAGAGAGCTGGCTTGGAAGAGGGGCAACCGGGACAGAATCCGGTGCCCCGACCGGGGCTAGAACCTGGTGTGCCGGCGCCGCAAGGTGGAGGATTAGCCTAGTGAGCCGCGGCGCCAGCCTTTAAGGGATTCTTAAGATGGGGTGCAGGACAGAGGAGTTGAGGATAGCCTCCGGCATGCTGCCTCTGTCTCCTCTCCCCTCCTTCCTCTTCATCTTCCACCCCTGCCCTCGCGGCCTTTTGCCTGTGTGGTCCCTTTCCCAGTGGTGCAGCCTCCCCCTGCCCATGTTTCCACCTCTGTCCTTTGCCCATTGCCCTTCCTCTGGAGCCTGATGATCTCTTTGGCCATTCTCCTGGGTTGGTTCCTAGTTTCTGGTCCCCAGTGTTGCCCTCCGTGCCTGTCTGTCATAGTTGCTACTCTGGTCCCTTGCTCCTGTCTACTTCTCTTGTTGGCCTCTGCTCCTTTCTCGGCCCCTCCTGGAAGCCCTCTGTTTCTTTCAGCTCTCCACAGCCTTTGTTCAACTCTTCCCTGTGCCCACATCCCTGTGTCTGCGTTAGTGCAAATGCCTCTGGAGCCCCTGACTTGCTCTGCCCTCCATAGCAGTACGTGTCCACTGCCTCCTTAGCTCGTCTCCCGGCCTCCCTTCCTCCCTCCTGGCCCGTCATTCCTGGAGTCTACGCTAGCTTCATCTTTTTCATCTCTGCTTCGCTGTCGCCAGATGTCCTTGAGCGAATCGGTCACCGTGTCCATTTCCCAGTCCCCGAGCTTCCCCCTAGGGTGCGCTTTGCCTCCTGGGTCCCCCACCTGCACCCCTCTTCTTGTGCCTTTGGTCCTTCTGGGGCAGTCGGCCCAGCTCTCACTCCGCCAGCCCCTTTCTTTGGTTCTGTGGAGCCTGGTCTGTGCCCCAAGCTGCTCAGCTGGCCTGAGCTTGTTTAGTCTGACTCCCTTAGCCCGTTAGCGGCTTAGCCCTCCCACCTCCAGTAAACAAGAGGATCAGTGCGGGCCCGACAGCTGCCAGGTGGGGGCAAGTGTCTGGCCAGGCCAGAGCAGGCATGAGAGGCAGCTGCACTCCCCACTTCCGGTTCTTTCTTCAGCCAGGACAATTCTAGGGTCTCTTTCCTGGGTGTCCACTGTGACGTGACAATCCATGGGCATGTGTGTGAGGTTCCCTATCTCCATAATCCCCATTCCTATGTTGAGGCTGGTTCTCAGGCTGTGGGTCTTCTGATGCTTCTGAGAAAACAGCATTCGACCCAGGCAATCACACTCCTCCACACAAGGAGGAGACCTCCTCCTTGACTGCGGGTGACGGTGCCTGCTCCATAACGCAGAGGCCCAGGTGCGGGAAGAGAGTGACCTCACCTGGTCTAGGTCTTCTAACGTGCGCCTAGGAAGCGTGGTAGGGGAGACTACACATACTCAGGCTGTAGGTGTTCTGCACGACTGTGACTCTTAAACTTCCGTGTGTGTCAGAGTTGCCCGGGAACCTGTAAAAGGGCAGATTTCTGAGCCTCACCCCCAGAAAATTAGATTCAGTAGGCTTGAGCTGAGCCAGAGAAGTGGCATCTCCAGCAAGTTCAGTGCTGCTACTGCTGACGGGCCAAGGCCCACACTTTGAGAACCACTTATCTTAGATGATCTGTGTGTACCAGCCCCTTCCCAACACCTAATGCTGGGACCAGCTTAATCTTGGGGACTGAGGGCCGCTGGGGCTGATGGACCTCGGGGTCTCTCTCTGAGATGGGAAAGAGGCCCGGTGACCCCAGGGGAGTTTGTGGGGTATCCTCAGAAGGTAGGGAGTGGCTTTTCTTTCACGGGGTCCTATTCTAGTACAGACCCTTAAACAGCTTCGGACAGGTTTAAACATCTCCTTGGCTAATTCCTAGTATCCCTGTTCCAACTCCTACTCGGGGATGATAGCTCTAAGAGGTGTTAGGGGATTAGACTGAAAATGTAGGTCACCCCCCAGCCATCTGGGAAGTAGGATGAGTGCGAGGAGGAGAGAGGGGCAGAGACGAACACAGGGAAAAGGTGAGAGGGAGCAGAGGACATGTGAGGGCAGTCATGGAAGTGTCTCCAATGCACTGGAGGCGATTCGATTTCAGTGTCCCCTACTGGCTGGGAAGAAAGATGCCCAGTTCCCGTTCTCTTCTGTTCTCCCCCTACACTGTGCTGCCTGTCCTGGGGCTGTCAGCAAGGATGGGAGAAGCTGAAGGCCCTGGGGATTCCCCCTGGGGAAAGTTGCTTATCTTTCTGATGCGATGGCTGTGAGGCCAGTCAGGGTGAAGGTGGGATTAGGGGCAGAAATGTGAGGATGCTTGGAAACAGGAAACCCACGCCCCAGACTGGCTGAGTGTGGGTTTGGGAGAGCCCATACACCAGAGACACAGATGAGGGGCCTTAGAGCCTTGTGGGGAGGGGTCCTGGGAGCTTGCCTGGCCCTCTTTTCCAGGGCTGGGCTCTAAGTGGTTGAGAAGTGAGGCTGTGTTCACGGAGCGGGTGATGGTTGGGGTCATCTGCCCTGGGGAACTGAGCACATGTTGGATCATCAGCAAGGAGCTTTTCCTTTGAGAACAGGCATCCTTGATACTTGTCCCTTCCTCTCCTACCCCTCAACCCCCCAGGCTGAGATATGCAAATCATCCTCTTACCTCATTGGCTGAGGCCTAAGGACCATAGCTGAGCTCAGGGAGCTGGCCCTTTAAGAGTGCCCTTTGGGCTCTGTGCCCACTGCCCCCTCGTTCTGAGCACAGAGGCACCTGGGCCTGCTCCATGGAGCCTCCAGTCTCTGGGAAAACTGTGGCTGCCTGGCTCTGACACTGACCACAGCATCTCTGCGACCCCCTAAAGTGAGTATGTCCAGGGCCTTCCTGGGTGCCAGGTCTCTATCCTAGAGTCCTCTCTCCCACACCTGCTGTCTGCTCCCTGTTGTCTGTTCTCTGGACTCCTCACAGCTTCTGCACACTACCCCATTCCCTCCCTTGCTGGCCTGATGTCCCTCTCTGTTATCACATCAGGAAGATAAACAGCCCTCCCCACTTAGCTCTCCTCTGTACATCCGGCTCCCGCTGGACACCCCTTCAGCGTCTCACCATCTGCTCCCTGCCGTGACCAGTCCCTTCAGTCCATGTCTTTGTTTCTGACTCCTCTGTCCTCTCGAGGGTCAGGGGGCTCCATGGAGAAGGCAGCAACCCTTCCCTGGCACAGGAAGAGAGATGCCTTGCTCTTCTTCCCACCCCTCTGGGTCAGACAGAGGGAGAGCTAGGCTTGAGTCACTAAGATGGAGCCATTAGTCTAAGCCCTGGGACTGAGCATTCTCTGCCTTGCCGCTTCTGGGGATGGCGGCGGGGCCGTTGGAATTGGGAACTGGGCTAGAACCTGGGACTTCCAGGCTGGAAAAGCTCTCTGAGGTCATCTAGCCAGAGGTTCCTCAAGTGAACATGTGTTCCACTGTTGATAACAGAGTTCCTTGGTGACATGTTCGGGACATCTGTGTTGGAGGTGAACAGATGGTTTGCTGAAGGGCTTGCCAGATTAATGCGCTCTTATGCTCTGTGAAGCTGTAAGAGGTGAGGTAGGAGGTGGTATTTCTCAAAATCATCTGAGCACAGAGCTCTCCTTGGATAACTCTCAGAGTCAGCGTGCCACGGAACACTCGGGGAGATGTGATAACATCTAAATGCCCTCGTTGAACAGGGGAAAAGGGCTCAGAAAGCAACAGGTGATCTGCTCAAGTTCAAACAACCTCACAGGTTCCGAGCAGAAGGAAGGAATAGTCTTGGTTGATCCTTGGAGAGACAAGCCTTGAGGAAAGACAGTTGCTGCTGAAGCCTGAGCTTTGGGGAGTTGATTCTGGGATCTTTCTCTTTTTCCGCAGAAAGTCTTCTGCCCCCGAACAGGGATGTGTTGATTGATTAATCCATAGAGCGAGTGGCACTGAGGATCTGTGTGTAAGGCACTGTCCTGGGTGCCTTGAGAGATGGAGATGCACCATGTGACCCTCATAAAGCGCCTGAAGATTCACAGCACACATGCCTTCCCTGGCCCCAAAATATACACATACTCTTTCACAGTTAATTAAGCAAAATATTTTAATGGCTTGGAAATGAAATGACGCCTCTTGAGATGAGAGCCTCAGCACTAGAGTTGGGGGCACTGCTGTGCTGCTGGTGTCTTTCCTGGATTTCACGGGTGCCAGTGCAGGGAGAGGTTGTTGCTGTCCTCTTCCTCCTCGGGTCCTTCCGCTGCTTGGCCCCTGTCAGGAGCCTCTGCCACCTGACAGGTTGCGCCCAGCCTGAAGGTGACCCTGCCGGGTACAGGGCTGCACCATCACCATGCCTTTCCAGAACCCTGCTCCAGGTCTTTGGGCTTTGGGGGAAGAGGGGTGAGGAGCACCAGCAGGCAGCTTCCAGACCTCTCCTCTTGTTTGCAGGTGCACCTCCCTAGCCCAGCCCCAGAATGGCGCTGCCCCCCAGCCCCCTGGCTATGGAATATGTCAATGACTTCGACCTGATGAAGTTTGAGGTAAAGCGGGAGCCCTCTGAAGGGCGCGCTGGCCCTCCCACAGCATCACTGGGCTCCACACCTTACAGCTCGGTGCCTCCATCGCCCACCTTCAGTGAGCCAGGCACAGTGGGCGCCCCTGAGGGGCCCCGGCCAGGCCTGGAGGAGCTGTACTGGCTGGCTACCCTGCAGCAGCAGCTGGGGACTGGAGAGGCACTGGGTCTGAGTCCTGAAGAGGCCGTGGAGCTGCTGCAGGGTCAGGGCCCAGTTCCCATTGATGAAACCCAGGGCTACTATGCAGAGAGCCCAGAGGAGATGGGAGCCCAGCATGCCCAGGTGAGTGATCAGCGAGCCGGTGTGAGGGGCTGCGGGCAGAGGGAGGAGGCCAGCACGACAGAGCCGGGGCAGTTCTGGAGAGGGCTAGGGACTGGGGAGGTCTGGGACAGAGGGAAGAGGGCCCCTGGAAGAAATCACAGAAAACTACACGCCGATCCAGGAGAAGTGGGGAGAAGACTAGACGAGAAGAGGACCCAGCGGGGAAGAGTTGAGAATTAGAGGGCTGGGGAGCAGGTAGACGGATGCACCGCGTGTGGAAACCGGGGAAGGGGTTACGTGAGGAACACAGCCAGGCTCACGGACTAGGCTCGGCGCTCCCCCCAGCGCCCAACCTTTTCTGGAAGGATTGAGACTCATCCTATTAATTACAGACACAGTCGAGGGTGTTGAGGACATTAGGACGTAATCCAAATCCTTTGAGGGTCACAGGGCTGTGGCCTTAAGGACAGGCGAACGTGGCACGTTGAGGGTGGAGTCCCTCTGAGCCAGGGTTCACGGGAAACACCCTCCGGGGGCCAGCTGCTGGGCACCGCGGAGGAGGGGGGAGGCGCAGGGTTCAGGTGCGCGATTGGCTCGCCTGGTCGGGGGGCGGGGCCTACGGTTCGGGGAGGGCCAATGGGGTCCGAGCGCGGTGCCAATGGCCGGGGGGAGCCGCGGCCGTCCGGGCCGGAGGCGGGGGTCTGCGCTGAGAGAGCTTCAGCGGAAGGGCCGGCATCCAGGCAAAGTTGGGAGCTGGGGCGGAGCTTTCCCGAGGGCGGGACCAGCCTGGGTCGGGACCTGAGTGTGGAGCCTGTGGGGTGGAGGGGACCCGACCCTCACACGGTCCCTTCGCTCTTCCTCCGCAGCTGGCCGAGCGGTTTTCGGACGCGGCTCTGGTGTCGATGTCAGTGCGGGAGCTGAACCGGCAGCTGCGGGGCTGCGGGCGCGACGAGGCGCTGCGGCTGAAGCAGAGGCGCCGGACGCTGAAGAACCGCGGTTATGCGCAAGCCTGTCGCTCCAAGCGGCTGCAGCAGCGGCGCGGGCTGGAAGCCGAGCGCGCCCGTCTGGCCGCCCAGCTGGACGCGCTGCGGGCCGAGGTGGCCCGCCTGGCCCGGGAGCGCGACCTCTACAAGGCTCGCTGTGACCGGCTGACCTCGAGCGGTCCCGGGTCCGGGGACCACACCCACCTCTTCCTTTGAGCCATTTGGGCTGGGGGGAGGGCGGGTGCGGGAGGATGGAGTAGATGGGTAGGTGGGAGGCGACTGCACAGTTCTTTGGATTGTTACCCAGCGCCTTCTGGTCCCATGGAGTCCTTGTATGGTCACACAAATACCCCCAAACTTCTTGGCCCCTCCAGGCACACCAGAGGTTAGATGCTGGTCATTTTCTGGGAGAGGGGTCCCCTCCTCTCATGAAAGGCATACCAGAAACCCAGTCATGATGAGCACGAAAATCTGCAGGGCCAGAGCCGGCGAGGGCAGGGTGGGGGAGGGCGCACAGGTGCAGTGACTGGGTGACACAGTGAATGGAAGTGAGGGACTGGTGCAGCTATCTCCCACCCCCAGTTTAGTTTTTATTTCAATAAGGTTTTCAACCTGTAGTGCTTTAAGGCTGTGATTAGCAATGAGGCAGTATTTTCATTCTGAGGCCTGTAACCTGCCCCTTTTAGGACTGCTGCATTTGCAAGGTTTCAATTCCCAGCAGCAAGACAGACATAAATAAGCCCAACATGGTTAGGAACTGTATCCAGGATGCTTTTCCCCTGCCCACCCCAGAGGCCTTCAGAGGCCAGAGCAGCAAAGGTGTGAAGAGTGAGCTCTGTGGGTGGTTGGCGTGGGAAGGGAGAGAGCCCTGGGCGGGAGTCCGGAGACCTGGGCACTGGTCCCAGCTCCGTCATGGGATTCCTCTGTCACCTTGAGCAGATCAATTTCTCCCTGGGCCTCAGTTACTTCACTGAATCCTCATTTGGAATGGACGACACCTGATACCTTCCCAGTTCTGGCATCTTCCCAGTGTGGGAGTCCCAGTGGTCTCCCCAAGAAGCCCCCCAAGACAACCTCACCAAAAAGGCCCCTTGCCTGCCGCAGCTTCCTGGCCAGCACGCTGTGAGTGCGAGAGCAGCCCGGGTGAGCCTGCATGGGGGACCCCTGCTACCTTTCTGAGGGCTGGAGTGAGACTTTTCTCAGGATAACAAGGAACGGAGGAGAGAGTGCAGCTTTTGTGAATTAAACTTGAAGTCCAGACAGAATGCTAATGCTATTGGCTAAATGTTCTTGCAATTTAAGTGTTCATTCTTTATCTCTGCTTCAGGCTACTGTTTAGTGTGTCTGCGTGGGAGGGAAGGAGTGGGGGGAGAGAGAGAGAAACACTAGGACGCCCCCACCTGGAGCTGAGTGGCACATCTCTGGAAGGCCAATGAAAATGGGGTGGAAGGGTGGGCACTGGGCCAGATGGAGGGGTCCACCTCCCCCCTCACCCCAAACCTAGAGGCAGCAGTGGCTGGGCCTGGCTGTGGATATCCTTGAGGTCGCCCAGTCGCCATGGTAACCCAGCTCTTGGGGAGTCGAAGCTCTTCAGCAACCTAAGGGGAGGTTGGGTGGGGCCTCTAGGCAGAGCAGAAGCATGGGGCTGGAGCAGCCACCTCATCAGCTTTTGTCATCTGTCCTCTAAGGGACATAATAAATAGGAGAAGCGGTCGGGCATGGGGGAAGCAGCTCCCATATGTCTCTCTTCCTTTCTGCCCCCTCTGTCCACCCCCTCCCCAGCTGTCTTCCCCCGTGGCAGTTCTTGTTCCCTCCTCCCCCTCCTCTAGCCCAGCTCATGCCTCCTCCACGCAGGAGCCTGCAACAGGAGGCCTCTTCTCCTTGCCCCTGGGAACTGCCCTCTTCTCTCCCTGGCCCACCTCCATCCATGGTGCCTTTAGCCTCCCCTCTGTGTTCTCTTTCACACTGGCTGTAGGAGGAGGGGTCTGAGATGGGGGGCATTCCCTCCAGGGGCCCAGCTCTTCTCTCCGGGGAATTTCACCTGTGTCCCTGCCAGGTTGGTGCTGCAGTCCAGGTCCACTGCTTCTCTTGCACACCTTTCTAACCTGCATTGCACACAAAGCAAGGACACTATCCACAGACACCCGTGCACACAGCTAGGCCACATTGACATGCACCTGGATCTCAAGATGATCCACCAGGGGCACGCGGATAGACCTCAAATAAGGGTCCCACACCGTGGTGACAGACAGTGTGGGTTCTTTAGTCAGATGGGCCTCGGCTCAGGTTCCAGTTCTACCCTAGTTCCTCTATGGTCACGAGCGAGTTAAAAGCTTGCTTTGTCAGAAAAATGGGGGAAATAATGGTAGCTGCCTAGTGAGAATGAGCGCATTTCAACCCGCACTGGGCACGAAGTCTGACACATGCTGTCGTGGCTGATGGGATCACGGGGCATGCACAGCTGGACTTCCTGATCCACCAACGCTGCACCTGTGGAGCGCCGGGGCCGTGCGGGATGTGAACATGCACGTTCACACGCCCAGGACAGCCGGGCTGCACAGGCCTTCCCCGCCCCCTGTGCTCCACAGTCCCTAGCACACCTGCTGCTCTCCCTGTCCTCCCCCGACACTCCTTCCTGGCCCGCCCCACAGCTGTGTGGGGGCTGGGGTTCAGCCCCTGGGGGACTCAGCAGGGCCTCTCTGAAGACAGCTGTATGAGGGCATCAGCCTTCCCCCCTTGACAGCCCCTTATTACCCCCCCATCCCCTATAATTAGCCCCCATGGTGCTGGACCCCCTGGGGTTGGGACGGGAGAGTGGGGGCTCCTTGGACTCTAATGGCACCTAGTAGGGGTGAGATTGCAGGGCCGGCAGCCTGTCTGGGGTGCTCTGGCTCAGATTTTGAAAGATCTGGGTGGTGGTGGTGGTGGTGGGGTGCTGCGGACATCTGAGGTGTGACCCACAGAGGCGGAGGTGGTAGGAGCAGTTCCTTTTATTAACAGCCAGAAAGTGGGGATCACTGAAGGCAGTCACTAAGGGGCCACAAGGTCAAGGGGTGTGGGGCTCAGAGAGATGGGAGCTGGGCCCACCACTCACTTCCGGGACCCAGAGGGCATGGCTGGTCCAAGACGCAGAGGCACTGGTTACTCGAGTCACAAGGGTCAGGACAGGCACCTGGGGGAGGGGTGCAAACATCATAGCACCCTCTTCAGCACCCCACCAAGAGGTGTTTGAGCCCCTTTGTATCCGCCCCTGGCCCTCAGGACTCACCAGAGGCTGAGGGAGAGTCTCCTTTTCGTGGGCAGCTGTCACGGGCTAGGGCTGGGGGTGGTGGCCGGCGTGCAGGGCCTGGGGGCCCCTGGGCTGATGCCCTGGCTCGCGTAGTACTCCACCACCTGTCGCGGCACCTCGGCCAGGACGCACTTGGCGAGCGCGGAGGGAGCGGCCTGGCGGTGGCCGGAAGACTTGGTTGGTGGTGGTCGGGGTGGGATCCGGTGCGGGAGGGGCAGGGCTTCAGGGTCATTCAAAAGATCAGATTTGGGGGTATAAGGAACCCCACCCCTCACCCCAGCACTCACATCCTTGAAGTCCCGGAAGGGCACGAACTGGACGATGTCGCGGGCTGCAGGCACCCCTCGCGGGCAGCGCAAGGGACCATCGTCACCATCCAGCAGCCGCATGTCCGAGAAGTCAGCGTTGCCCACGCCCACGATGATGATGGACATGGGCAGGCGCGAGGCGCGCACGATGGCGGTGCGGGTCTCGGCCATGTCGCTCACCACGCCGTCAGTGAGCACCAGCAGCACCGAGTACTTCTGCGGGAAGCAGAGTGGAGGAAGTGCGGGCTCTTAAGTGCTGGGTATTGACACCCGCCCAGGTCCAGGCCCTGACACTGGCCCCACCCGACGACCCCCCGGGGTCTCCTCACTGAGGCTTGGCCAGTGCTCTGCTCCCGCTGGGCCGGCCCGGCCACGCGGTTGATGATGGGAGCCACGTTGGTGGGGCCGTAGAGCTGGATCTGGGGCAAGCAGCGGCGGTAGGAGGCGATGACCCCTGCGATCTCTGTGGGCAGAAGGGCAGGCCTTAAAGCGAGAGGTGCTCCTTGCCTCTTAGGACTGGCCGCCCCCCAGATTTCTCACTCTGTGTTTCTCTAAGCAGAGGGAGAGTTGAGCAGGTCCCCAGGGCTGGAGTGGATGGAAGGGAGGCTGCTGGAGCCATGGTGTGCTCTTGCAAGGAGTGTGCAGGTCCCGGCTGTAGGCGTGTGTGCCACTGGAGGTGGGCTGGTGGGGACCCCCTGAACCCACTTTTAAAAATTGTTTATTCATTTATTTATTTTAGTTTACTTGAAAGGCAGAGCAACACAGGGAGAAAGACACACACACACACACACACGCACACACAGTCTTCCATCCCCTGGTACACTCCCCACTGCTAGAGCTGGGCCAGGCTGAAGCCAGGAACCTGGAAATCCCAATTGAGTGGCAGGTGCCCAGGTACTTGAGTGATCATCTTGCCGCCCCTCAGGATGCATTAGCAAGACTCTGAGTTGGGAGCTGGGTAGGTGGGCCTCAAACAGGTGCTGTAGGGAATGCAGGCGTCCCAAGCCTTGACCTGCTGCACCACAACGCCCACCGGGGGGACTTCCCCTCTTTACCGTCACATTCAGGATTTTCAGGGTCAAAGTTGATAGCAAAGTCATGGGACACCTGTGAGGGAGAGGTGACAGCAGTGGCAGGATGACTTTCCTTCCTGTCTGACTCTGCCACCTTCCCTTCCCTCCCTCTGTACCCAGCTTACCTCGAAGTTGGGGGGGATTCGAGCCCCAAAACCGAAAGCTGGGAACCGCTTGTCACTGAAAAGAAGAAAAGGCCGTGGCACCCTCTGGGCAAGGCCTCTCGTCTTATGCCTCCTGCCCTCCACCTGCTCCTACCTGTCGTAGTCCTGGCAGATGCCTCCTACTGCTCGCAGAGCCTGCAGGTAGTGGTTGGGCTGCCGGGGGCTGAGGCAGTGGAGGGACTGGCTGCTCCTTGGGTCCCCATTGGAGGCAGTGAAGTCGATGGCCACCTGGTGGAGGTGATGCAGCCAGCAGGGCCTCAGAGAGGCTGGGCCGGAGCTCAGGTCTACAGGGAAGACTCAGAGGAATCTGGGGGAGCCCGCAGGTGGCCTCATCATGGGGTGGGGGTGAGGTTCAAGCTGATGGTGCAAAGGCACATGGGAAGCCCAGGTAGGGGAGGTAGGATTGTGGGCCCCTCCTGTTGCCTGCGTCCCATTCCTGAGCCTTTACCGTGAAGCTGATCTGGCAGCCACCCATGATGTAATCCAGAAAGGTGTGCACCTTCTCCACCTGGCGGGAGGGGAGAGGTAAAGTGGAGGGATGGGCTGTTCCTCCAGGGGAGGGAGCTTTTGAGGCTGCAGTTGGGGTGGGATAGGGCAAGGGCTCCAAGTTTCTGGAAGCCCTTGAAACAAGGGCAAGGTTGACTCTGAGATTGTGGTGGGGCAGGGGCAGGGGTAGAGCATTAAGGAGGAGCTGGGACTTACCGTGCACTGGGCCAGCACCACTGTCCCTGAGCTCTTGTAATTCTTCTTCTTGTCGCGGTATTTGGGGTTGATACAGTCCCACTGCATCTAGACATCACCCACTCCACAAGCTCAGCGTCTCATGTCCACCAAGTGGCCCCTTTCACCCCATTCCAGAAGAGCAACCCAGAGGAAGACCCGAGGCTTGGTCCTTGGGTTGGGCCTGGACCCCTTCCAACCCTCTCCACCTCCCATCACCTACAGTAGCCTCTTCAGCATCACCCTCAGGAGCCTCTCAGAGATCTGGGTGGAATGTGGGGGGTGGGGTGGGGTCTCTGCAGCACCTCCTGCCCGGGGTTTGCTGTCCCCTCCTGCATCTCCTGGAAGGTGCTGGTGAACTCGCCGATGAAGTCGTGCTTCCCACTTGAGTCATAGTCATACACCAGGAACTGAGAGGGTGGAGGACAAGAGGGGTCAGGGTCAGGGTCAGGGTCAGGGTCAGGGTCAGGATCAGAGCTGTCTGCAGTGGCTAATGGGGCTGGGGAGCACCCACAAGGTCGAGGTGGTCGCGGTTTCCAGATTCTGATGCCCTCAACCTGCTTCAAGAGGCCACCTGCCGACCTTTGTTCTTTGGCTCAACCTGGCAGAGACTTTGGCCTCTGATAAAAGGCACACACGTGGGCAGTTTCACACTGAGCTGTGAACTGTTGTTTACCCACAGTGAGAAGGGATCAGCACATGGGGGGAGGAGGGGTGGGCTGGGCTCAAGGGGAGTCTCCAGGCTGCATTTGCTTGGCGGGGGCTTTACCTTGAGAGGCCGGTGGACGTCACAGCTGCATAGGGAGTGCAGGGACAGGCGGAACGGCTCCCAGCTGGGGTTCAAGTTGTTCTTCACCACCTTGGAGAGGCACCAAGGAGCTGGGTACCTACTGTCTAATTTCCCTCCTCTGCTCTCCATCCATCTCCATAGCCCCGGGCACCAACCTCAGTCCTCCAGACCAGCTGGTCATTCTGGTCCCCGTTGGTCTTATAAATCTCCATGAAAGGGTCAGACTTGCTGAACAGGTCCTGAGGAGGGAAGCGCTAATGAGCCTGGGGAGGTTGCGAGGAGGAGGAAGGGGGAGGCCTGGGCCTCTGGGATCTATCTCAAATGGGAGACTGGACTCCAGCAGGGGTGATGGGGGCCTGGACTTGGGGCTCCAACCTTGTTGTCCAGCTTGTGGGCTCTGAAGGTGAGTTGCACATAGTCATTGGTGCCAGATACCTCCTCGGCCACGATCTGCAAGGGGGACACATTGGCAAGACTCTCTCCCCTGACCACAAGTGCCACCCTCCTCCCTTTCCCTTTGACGGCAGTCTCCACGGGCTCCACACAGGGGCACTGAATGCGTGGCAGAGGTGACCCAGCCTACCGTGATAGTGGACTTGCCCGCAGTCTTCCCATTCTTCAGCAGTAATGGCTTGGTGACCTTGGTTTGTGACACAATCTGGGGATGGAGGTGGAGCGAGATCCAGCTGTGATGCTGTCCCCTGCCTTGGTCAGGTTACAAGAGGTGGACTGACAGCTGCCCACTGAATGCCCATAACACTGGGCCCTTTGACTTGGGCTAGGGTTGGATTCAATTCCTATAGCAGCCTTGAGAGGGAAGCACTATAACCTCCCCCTGTTCCCATTTTTTTTTTTTTGGGGGGGGACGGAGGAAACAGAGAGGTTAAGTAACTTGTCTGGAGCTTCACAGCCAATGAGCAGTGGGGGAAGGGATCCCAGCGTGGATCGGACTAGCTCCAGAGTGCATGCTGTCTCTTATTGTAGCCTCCACAGGCAGAAGCGGATGCAGGTGGGGTGCACTGGGCGGGAATGCAGACCTGGCCCAAGGTGCATTCTGTAGAGCCGAGGAAGGTGTCATCTCGGGGACTGGTGGCTCCGTCCTCAGCATCGAACACGTGGAACTGCAGGGGCTGCTTCTCCTCAAAAAAGTACTCGAGGGCCAGCACCCGGGAGAAGACGGGGTTGGAGCAGGAGCGAAGCACCTCCGTGCGCTCCACCTGCAGCGGGCGGGGCGAAAGCCCTCTGGGAACCGGGGCTACTGCACCCTGTCCTGGGCACACTGCTCACGCCGGCCCGGACACTAGCTGCTGTCTTTCTGAGCTAGGCTTGCTACCAGCCTGCTGGACCAGCTCAGCCCTTTGTGGGGTACCCCGCTGCCTCTGGGACTCTGTACTTTCAAATCTGTGAAATGGGTTGTGCTCGGCATGGAAGCACATTTATCTCCAAGGTTCCCCATGAGGTCCAGAATAAAAAATGGCCCGTGGAGCCCTTGTCCTCCCCTTGGAGGCCCTCACTGGCGGCACCTGCCAGCCCTCCCACCCAGGCTTACCCAGGAGGTTAGTTAAGGAAAAACCTGAGCTGTTCTCACCTCCACCCACTGCTCGTCAGAGTAGAGCTTGAGCAGCACGCAGGGGTGAGGCTTGGTGAGTGTGTCTCGGTCCAAGAGGCCGTGGCAGGATACCCGCAGCTCTACCCGAGAGGCCCCCAGCGTCATGGCTGGGGGCTCGGGCACCCAGGCCATCTCGGGGTCCGACATGTCACCGTGAGGACACAGCAGACTGCCTGGACACTGCAAAGGGAAAGGATCTGTCTTCTGGGGGCCCTGAGTCCCGCCCCCTTCCCTCCTTGCTAGGGCCCTGGGGTCTCATGGACGCCTGCTTCCCCGAGCTCTGAGCCTTGTGCTGCGGCACAGGAGCGCCATGCATCTGTCACTCCTGCCGGCCTAGGTCCACGTGGCTGGGCTGGAGAGGGCTGGAGGGCTGGGGGTGGGAGGTGGGGTTCCTGGCAGTCTTGGCTCCTAGGCCATTGATTGATCCACGCTTTCTGCTGCCTCAGCATCTTCCACTACTTCCCGACTGATGTCTAAGCCAGCGCTGCACTCAGTCTTGGCACGAGGGAGCCGAACTGGGGCAAAGAGGGGGGGCCGATGGGGGGGGAGGAGGTGGAGAGGCCGCAGGAGGGCTGACGAGGACGGGCCTCAGGGCTGAAGTCTGCAGTGGGCAGGAGGAGTCAGGTTGGAAGGTGCCCTGCAGGGCTGGCTGTCCCTGTCCACTCCCTACCCCCACTCACCTTCCGGCTGGCTGGCTGATGGAGAAATGAGGGGTGGTGGGCTTGGGGAGTGAGCGCAGGACCAGGGTGTTGCTGCAGGCTCCTCCAGCCTCCTGGCGGGGGCTCTCACTATGAGGAGCCACGCATCCTCCCCTCCTCCCCTGTTCTCACACTTCTTGGCAACACTGGCACTGTTTCTTAGCGACAGGATTTTGGGGGAGCCGCGGCCCCTTCCATGCCACCCGTGGGATGCATGCGCGCCACCCTCCCCCAGCAGTGGCACCAAGCCTTGGGCAGCAGCAGGCAGGGGTACGCCGGCCCGAGTTCCTGACCAGTCGGTGCGTCACCTATTCGTGTCTGTCCAGATTTCAGGGTGAGGCTGCCTGATCTCACGTCCTGCTTCCCGGAGCGAGTGTGTGTTGGTCTGAGTGCGCCACCCTCTGTGTCTCTCTGCCCCTGTCATGTGCGTTTGTCTGTCTCCAGGAGGGTGTGACCGTTCCCGGAGCTCCCTCAGAACCGGGACCCTTCCCTGGCCGGGGACCCGCCCCCGCCCCCCCCCAACAGGTGCCTTTTGGTATATGTGAGGGAGGGTCTGGGCTGAGGGGGCTCTGCCTTCCAGCCACGAGTCTCCCAGTTCTTGTGGGTCCCCCGAGACAGGCAGGGGCATGTGATGAGCGGATCGGCAGGGATGGAGACCTCTCTGGGACTGGAGGAGATGTTGTCATGGAGACTGGGCCAGGCCGGGGTGCTGACCAGGGCCGGGCAAGGGAGGGAGGGTGGGCTCACCTGGGCTCTTGGTTGGGGGCTCTTCTCTCCGGCTCTCTGGCCCTGGCCCTGACTCCCTTGCTGCTCCAGCCGCTGGCGCCGGCTCCAGCTCCAGCTCTGCTGCTATTTATGGGGCCTGGATGGGGAGGGGTGCGGGGGGGCTGCCGCACCAGCTCCCCCCGCACAGACGGGTTGGGAGGGAGAGGAGGAGAGGGGCAGGGCCACTGCCTGGGAGGGAGCCACAGAGCCCAGGGAGGAGGGCGGGCTGGCGAGGCTCCGAGGCAGGACCCCTCTAGACACAGTGACACACATCCTCCCCTTCACACCACACCCACGCCCGGAATCCAAAGAAGCACACATTGCAGTGTGTGTGCGCACACACACATCCACACCGAGAAATGGTGGCGACACACGCACCCACGGCTCCCAGGCTAACACATCTCCACACGCACAGGCACCAGTCCGTAAACTCCCTGCGACACCACGGCAGGCACAGTCTCGAGACACACTGGGAAACACACCCAGTGTCACAATCGGATGCGCTCGTCCAGGACACTTGCAATCACAGCTGAGAGCTCCCTGGGATGTCCTTGTCACAAATACACACACACACATTTGCTCGCACCAGCCGGACCGTGGGTCTCTAAGCCGCACGCCGGCTCTCAGGGCCCTTTTCCCTGCCACCTTCTTATGAGATGGAGGAAATGGATGCAACTGCTCTGGGACACGCGTGACCTCACATTCCTCTCTAGCAGCTGGAGGATGGGGCTGCGCAGTGGGGGTGCGGACCCAGGCACTGGCACCCAAGGCACCTTCCTGGTGCCACAAGGTGTCCAATGCCGTCCCCACCCCCACCCCTGCTGATTCAACCCATATGGTCACATCCTTGTGGGAGGGGCCGTGCCACCACGGATCTTACGGAAACAAGACGATAGTCATCCCCAGTGAGACAAGGGGAAGTGAGTGAGTGCCTGAGGAGCTTCAGGCCACGTGGGGAGACATTTGGGCACATGGCCATCTGTGAGGCGTGGCAAGAGTGCTGTCCTGGACACCTTCACCCTCCACTCCCAACGCTGCTTGCTCATAGAATTAAGGCAGCAGCCATCCACTGAACCTGTCCTGGGTGCCAGCCCTTGTGTCAGGTGCTGGCACTAACTAGGAGATTAGGCACAGCCCCTGTGCTTGGAGGAGGGAGACTATGTAGATCAGAGGGACACACACACACGATCAGCACAACGCACAGAACCAGAAGCATGGCAGGTGCCAAGTCATGGACCCGCCCAGGATGCAATGGGGGCACGATGAGAGGTAGGGAAGGCATTGGGAGGGCTTCCTGGAGGAAGAGGCTGCAGAGCAGGATCTTGAGTGCCAAGGTAGGATTTGTCAGGACACCAGTTGGAAACGATTAATTTAATTATCGATCCTCTTAGGCCACAGAGACTTCTGCTCACCTACAAGCTACGCAACTGTTGAGGGTTGTTGGCTATTGAAGGTGCCCCCAGGATGACTCATACCACGTAATACGGTCAGTGAGACATGCACACGCAGCTCCCCAGACTCCCTGGTACTCTGTAGTCTTCCAATGTGCTCATGTCCCCTGCAGCTAGACGGAAGCTGATGATGGGCTCTGTGACGGTGGTCCCTTCTCCAGCCGGCTCAGGCCTGGCTGGGCGACCACCAGCCCCTTCCATCCCTCTCTGTTCTTCCTTCTCCTCCCCCTGGAGCCCCAGTGCCACCTCTCGGGGTGTTCCTCACCTCTCCCCATGGTGGCCAAGCTCTGGCGGCGGGGGGAGGGGGTGTGGGAGGAAGGGAGCAGATGGTGGGGCGTGGGGGCAGTGAATGGGAAAAACAGCAGACTCGAGGCAGGCAGTGATTTTTTTTTTATTCTATACAAGTGGGGAGAGAGCCCCTGGGGATAGAGGGACAGAGATCCGCCCTCCTGGGGGAGGAGACGGCCCCCATCCTGAAGCTCTCTGCAGAGCGAGGCATGAGGAATTGAGAGCCTCCCTCTCTCCGGGCTGCTCCCTCCCTTCTGGCCCCCCCCCTCCTGCTCCACCATGGCCTGTTCTGCCATGTTGTCCCTGTGGGACAGGGGCTGGCGGGAGGCCCCGAGGGAGCAGCGACGGGTGGGGGTCTGAGTCCTTGTGAGGCACATGTCGAGAGGAGGGCCGGGGGCTGTGGCAGCCGTCAGTCTGTTCCTGGCTCACTGGTTCCTGCCGGGGACAGATCAAGGGGGCCTGTCTCCTGGGCAGGGTGAGCCAGCCACCCCGTGCCGGGCTGGGACAGGCCCCGCCCCCTCACCACCAGCACCTGTGGGGTCAGGGGCCCGTCTTCTGTCAGGCTCCAGCTTGTCGCAGGACTGTGCCCGCCGTGTCCTCTTGGGCTTCAGCGGGGCGGGGCGGCGGCCTGGATCGGGGGGCCCTGGAATGACACATCGCATGCGGTGGGGAGGCTCACGGGCTAGGGGTGCTCCTCACAGGGAGCTGTCTGGGTTTCCCTGCCCCCAGCGAGGGTGGCCAACCTTGGACCTCCGGCTCCTCCTGGTCTTGCTGTGAGCCCAGCCTCAGCCGGGGTTTGTTGACTCCTGGAGCTGTACCCCCAGTCTCAGCTTCTTCCCTGCTTCCTGGCTCTTGAGGGGGCCGGCGGCCCCTGGGCACAGCCACGGGCTTGGGGGGCCGTGGAGCTAAAGGGGGGTCCTGCAGCTGTCCAGGGAAAGACGTGCTGGATGAATTGGGCCCTTTGCCTCCTCTAAGAGCAACCTTCTGTCGCTCCACCCCACCGCATTGTCAGCCCTCACCTTGGCATTCCTAGCTGGAGCCATCCTCTCCGTGAATGGGGTTCCCTCCTTCTCCTCCTCCCCATTTTGGGAGGCTGGGCTGGGGCTCTGGCAGCTGTGGTTGGGGGCGCTCTCTTCAGCTGGGGGGGCAGGGAGGAGAAGCTGCAGGAACAGGCACTCTCACACAGCCCTTCCCAGCCTCTTCTCCCCCCGCCCTGGGGCCACGGCTTTCCCCTCCAAGCCCAGTTGCCCCAGTATCCCTGCCTTCTGTGTCCCCTTCCGCTTCCACACTTCCTCAGCCCTTGTTCCTTCCCCTGGGCTCACGGTGAGGCCATGACCTCTGGCCGGGGCTCTGGCCTGGCTGCCCCTCACATAGCAGGAACTCAGCCCTCTTCTGCTGGGTCCATAGGCTGCCCACCCAGGCTGCAGCGCCCCAGGGCCCTGCCAAGGCCGCAGCCTGCAATTCCCACTGTTCTGTCTGCTTGTCTGATTGACACGGCAGGAGAGGTGTAGAGGCGTCCTGCACGCTTTCGATCTCCCTCTGCCCCTGTGGCTCGAAGCAGCAGGAGCCGAGGGTGTGGCCCCAGAAGGTGCTGCGTATGCACCAGTGAGGTGTGTGTGCACTGCAGCATCTGACCATTGTGGTTTCCTAAGAGGACAGAGCCCTGCCTTGGTTGCTCTTCCTAGTGAACGTGTATCTGATTGGAAAGTTGTCAAAGACACAGAGGGGCAGAGGCACAGGCTCTGCACTATGGGACAGAGAAGAGTGGGGAGGGTGGGCTGGACGGGACACAGGAGCTCGTCTCTTAGCTCTTCCCAGGCCTCGTGCCCTATCCTGGGGCTGGATGTCCATGTTGGTGTTGTTGGAGGGTCGCGTTTGTCATCAGGTTCTATTCCAGGAAGCGTATGTGTGTGTGTGTGTGTGTGTCTGCGCCTTTGGGACCTGAAGCTGGTGCCAGCTTTTCTTCAGTGGCTCCCAAAGCAGACTGTGCTCTGAACTCAGCAGGCAGGAGGCACTGTACCTGGAGTAATCCCCTGGGAGCCAGAGAGTAAAGGGCTTCTTAAGGTTGCGGGTGCCTCAGGGGCACTAGGACCAGGTTTCTGACCTCCAGGGCAGAGCTTCTGCCCCACTTCCGGCCAGATTTCTGAGTGAGCTGAGGAGGGTTTGTGAGCTGTTTTTGGAGGAGCCTGGGGCCTGGCGCGGCTTGCAGTTGCTGGCTGTTTGACTTGCCCACTGCCTTCCCAGCTAACATGCAGAGAGATGTCTCCACAGAGGGCACCGCTGGGCCGACGGTGACCAGAGGTGGCACCTGCCAGACAGGAGTCACTGGAACCATTCCTGGCAAAGCCACTCCCATTCTGGAGACGCTTTCTCTCAATGGGGCTATTTTCCCTCTTTAGGCTGCTGCTTTGTAAATACCCTCTCACCGCCCCTCCCTGGTGGCACACTCCCCAGGCAGGGGCCATAGCTTCGGTGTCTGGCACACACCCCAGGCTCCGGGGCTGCTGCTTGAGAAGCGGCTTTCCGTACCTATGTGCCACGTGGCCTCCGCCCGGCGCATAGCACTGAAGCTTGGCTTGGTGCTTTGGGGTGGTGGTGGGGGCTTCCAGGCTCCAGGCCCTGCAGTGGAGGGAGGGGGAAGGCAAGCTAGGAGGGGTCCGTAAGAGGGGGATGCAGGGGAGGGAGTGAGGGGACTGTTCTCACCTGCATCATCGGAAGAGCGCCGTTTTTGCCAAGCCTGAGTGTTGCCCTCCAGGTCTGGGCCCGAGCCCTAAAAGCGTGCACAGCTGAGTCAGCTCAGAAAACCCCCCTTAGCTGATAAGGAGAGGCGTGCGCACACACACACACACACACAACATGCTGGGGACACAAGACACACTTTATGCAAACACGCATACTGTTATCTTAATGCGTGATAACATATAACAAGTATATAAGGAGTAGCAGGAAACGCACGCCCACAAGGAGCCCGGATTTGACAGATGATGACGGTTAGGTCCAGAGTAAGTTTTGAAAGGGGACTTGACTTCAACACAAATATTCTGTGAACATAACCCAGGTGGCGTGTGGGGAAGGCTGAACTCCACACTGAGGGTTGTAACCGAGTCCCCAAAGTGCGGGCAGCAGAGCTCTGGTCCCCCCAGTTTTCCCACAAGGAAGTAGAGGCTCCGGGAGCCAGCAACTAGGCCAGGCTTGCACGCAGGCACGCAACAGCGACAGAACCGTGGCCAACACTTTCCCCAGCCAAAGCATGGACCGTCCCAGGGAGTCAGCAGCATGGGGGAGCGGGCAGAGGGGGTGGAGAGGGACCCACAGGATCCCCGGTTTGCCACCCGAGGCGCCCTCACCTCTTGTTTCCCGTCGAAGCTCCAACCCTTGGCTCTTCCCAACCCAGGAAGGGCAACACCGTGGACCCTTGGCTGCTGTGCGGTCCCAGGGGCCAGGCCCCCCTCCCAGGGCTCTGACCCCTCAGGGCCCTGGAACAAGGTCTCTGGTTTGCCAGCGAGCTCCACAGGAAGCAGGGTAGCTGGGGGGAGGGACACTGCCCCACGGAGCCCCCAACCCTGGGCAAGCCCAGCCTACAGCTCTGAGGACTCCTTCCAACACCTTCATTTGCATACAGCACTCCCAGAATGCTCTGCATGCCAGGTCTTGGTCCACCATCACGGAGAGGGGAATGGAAATGACTAATGTTCCCCTAGTACCCGGGGTCGTAGAGTTCTCCCACCAATTTGAGGTGTGTTGGGGGAATGGTCTACGTGTGTATGGGTCAGCAGGAGGGGAGGACACGGCACCTCGGTCTCACTTACCATCTTCCTGCGGAAGGAAGGCCCCCGGCCCTCCCCGAAGCCGGGGGCAAGGCTGCTCTCCTCCTCTGGGCTCCAGCAGGGAGAGGAGCTGTTGCCGAGGCTTGGGGGGTCCGGGCTGGGGGGGCTCTCCTGAGTCGGGGGTGGGGGCGGGGGAGGGGGTGGGGGGAGGAGGAGTCCGGCGGTCGGGGAGCCCGGCCCCCTGTCGCCCTTGAAGCTCCGGGGTCGGCGGAAGTGGAACAAGCCTCGGCGCCTCTTCTTCTGCAGTGGAGGCAGCGGCGGCTCAGAGAGGCCTGGGCGCAAGGTCCTCAGCGTCCGCGGGCAGCTGGGCAGCGGGGGCCGGGGTTAGTTCAAGCCTCCTGCTGCCCCTCAACCAGCTTCTCCTCCTGTTTCCCCAGCCCCTTGCTGGACAAACGCTGGGGAGTCCACGCAGGACAGCGACAGGCTGTCCTCAGCCCAGAGCCTCTGGCCCCCAGCTGTCCCCACCGTCCACTGCCATGGTTCACCCCAGCCCCATCCTTCCCAGCTGTCCGGGGGCAATGATTCTGATGCTATGGGAGCCAAGGGATAGGTGAGGAGGGTGGGGAATGTGGGCAGGTGCACTGTTCTTTGGAGAGACTTCACTGGAATGGGGAGGTCACAGCAGCCCTTCTAGGGCCTGCTGAAAGTGTGAGTGTGTTTGGGCGACACACCTGGAGCCTTCATCCATGACCCTGCGGCTGAAGAAGTCCTCCAGCCCCTCGTCAAGGCGGGTGGCCGTCCCATTCTCCTGACGAGTCCCAGGCACCGGTACCTGCTGGGGGGAAAGTCCCAAAGGGTATCTCATCTGGGCCGGGAAGTCGCGCCTCCCATCTGCTCAGGGCCTTCCCCTTTGGACTTGGCCCCACGCAAGTTCAGACTTCAGTTCACCAGGGCACTGCCTGCGCTCTCAGCTCCATCCTTCCCCAAAATAAGAACGCCACTGCCTGGCAGACTTTGTGCCTGCAGCAAAGTCAAAGTCTAGCTCTTGCCTGATTGTGTGCTGTTCTTTGATGGGGCTCTTGCCTGATCCCCAAGGCTGGCATTTGGGTCCTAAAGCTAGAACCTCTAAGTGATGTCAGTGCTCCTGCAGGGCCTTAGGGACTCACATTGGGCCGACCAGGTCCCGGAGGGGTGGTCCTAGGGGGCCGGGGCCTCCCTTGTGTTTGGTGCCTTAGTTTGTAGCCATGAGTGGGTAGCTCCGAGAGGCCTTCCCAGGAGCCACTGGCTGTGGGCTGACTGCCTCCGAGGCCTGAGAACCAGCCCGGGGGGATCCCCAGGTTCCCCAGATGGCTTTCCATGTCCTGCGGGCTCCCACCTGCGGGAGGGAAGAGGTAGGGTCAGAGGGCCTGGGGAAGGTGTGGGAGCTGGGAGGGCACGAGAACGGAGGCGGGGACTCACTGATGAAGGCAGACACCGGCCGGATCTTGCGGCAGCGTTTCTGCTTCTTGATGGCCATGGTGTCCTGCAGAAATGGAGAGGACTGGTGGTGCCAGGTTACGAGCCAGGACCCTCTCCTGGAGCTTCCCGTGCCTCATAAAGCCTCTTCTTTGGCAAACGTCCCACCTCGCTCTCGGTGGCTAAAACATGGGGACAAGGGCCCAGCCTGGCCTGGATTGGGGCTGGGGGAGGCTGGGCCCAGCAGGTGCAGAGAGGAGTCCAGAGAGTGGAAGAGGACAGTGCTGTGCAGGTTCAAGGGCAGGGGCCAGGGGAAGGAGGAGACGGGAGGTGTGGGTGGCTCACGATGTTGGTCCCGAGTTCATCGTCTGTGGTCTCCTCGTGGTCATGGTTCCGGCCTCGGCCTCGGGAGGACAAATCCTGCCCTTGGCCTGGGCCTCCTGGTGCATCTGACAGAGTCCTTAGCTGGGTCAGGTGCCGGGCCTGGTGAAGGGAAGTCGTGAGCAGGATCCCTGGGGAGCTGCCCACCTCCCAGGACTCCGAGTTGGTGGGGGACGGTTGGGGGAGACAGGCCGAGGGGAGGAGGTGTTCAGAAGCCTTACCAGGCTCTTGTGGGAGTGGTACAGCTCCTGCAGGATCTCATCCACAATGGAGTTGGTCAAGTAGGTGACGACAGACAGCTTCACTTCACTGTGGGCGCAGGGAGGGCTGTTCAGGCTCCTGTCCCCACTGGGCCCCGGGGTCTCTGTCTTCCCCAGAGATCTGAGAGAATGGGCTGGCCCCCCCAACCTCCTCACTCCCCACAGAGAATGTGGCTGCTGCAGGGGCACCTCGGGTCCACCACACTCTGCACGACACACGCCGGCACCCCTCCCTCATCCCTGGAGCCCAGGTGTGTGTGGGCAGAGAGGAGCCGGAGCAGGAGCAAGGGGGCTCCAGTTCAGGCTGTGTAACTTGGGGTGTTGCTGTGAGAGGACAGCCCAGTGCGTCAATGTGCGCCCTTTTTCCTTTGCTTTGGAGAGTGGTAGAACCCAAAGGAAGTCTCTGGACAGGCTAGGCAGAGAGCGCATGTGCGCGCACCCGCCCCGCGTTCCTTCCCCTTGGTGTGTGCACACCTGTTTGTGTGCCCTATCTGGCTCCTAAACCCCAGCTCAGCACTTTGCCTTTTCTAGGGCAAAGAGCAGTCAGACCCTAAATAGCAAGGTTGCAGTTGGTTAAAGATTTATCCCTTGTAATGGAGATGATGCCATCCATTATTCATTGCTGATAGTGCTAAGTGCTCTGGGCCAAATCCAGCCCCGCCTCCAGCACCCCCCTCTTCTCACTCCAGCTTGTTCTGAATGTCCTGGCCCGCCTGCTCCAGCAGCGCCCCTCGGATGAAGTTCCGGGGCACAGTGACCCGCTCGGCCACGTTGCTCAGCATCTTGTTGTGTCCCTCGGCCACTCGCATGGCCACGGGGCATAACTCCTGCGTGAGGCTGACCATGGACTCCAGGATCACCTAATGTGGGGGAGGGGAGGGACAAGATCAGGGCCCGCCCCTAGCAGAAGGGACTTTTCCCCATTGACTCCATGATGATACTGAGGGACCTGCATAGGGTCTCAGGGACATGTGTGGCAGAGGCTTGGATACCAGGATCCCCCCACTTCCTGGTCAGTGCTCCTTCCACCCTACATATAGACAGAGGGAGAGTTGTCCAAGGAGCAGGATAGAGAAGGAGTCAGAATTCAGGGGCCAAGGTCAAAGGTGGCAAAAAGAAATCTAAGCCTGATACAATAGCAAGGCCTTGGCACAGTGGGAGTGTGGTGGGCTCAGCACTGGGCTTTTCCTCTTTGCCCCCAACTCTGACTTCAGCTTTTAGCCAACACTGGGCTCCCATCAGGGCCTTCTCCCTCCTCCAGGACTTGCCTGCAGCTCCTTGTCCACAGCCTTGGACACTTCGCTGGCTACCGATTCCAGCCTCTGCCGCACAGGGCCGTCATTGGCCAGCACATGGCCCAGCTCGTAGAGGCTGGGAAACAGCTTGGGGAGGAAGGGGTTCCAGTCAGAAGGCTGAATCAGGGCCCTGGGTTAGGAGGGCAGAGGCCGGGGGCAGGGCCTGGACACTTTGTGGGGTCTCCAGACCATCAGAGAAGGGTGGACTGCGGGGTGGGGGGTGGGGCTCACCGCTCGGGAGTTCTTGGCATCCTTGATGAGGTCCCTGGCATACAGCAGCTCATCCTGCACAGGCTCCAGGGGGCACAGCCTCAGGGCCCGCACCTCCTCTTGTACTCGTCCGCACAGCCGCTGCAGCATCTGCCGCACAGCAACCAGAGTGTCAGGGGTGGGAGCCCTCACACCGTGAGGGTGCCAGCACGGCCTCTGTGTGGCCTCTGGCCTCTCTCCTGGGGGTGCCCTGCCTGTTATCTGCTCCCGCGTTTCTGGGGCCCATAGCCCACATGCCCCCCATCTTTCTGCTCGCCCACGTGCTCAGTCCAGTTAGGGGCCCACATGACTCGCTCTCATGCCCCCGTGTGCTCTGTGCCATCACATCTGTGCCCTGCAGGCCCCACGCATGCCCATGTGTCCTGGAGGGAAACGTTTACTTGCTCGGCGCTGCTGGTCACCAGGCCCTGCTGCAGCCGGAAGGCCTGCTCCTGGGGGCACGTCTGGGAGTGGTTGTTCCTCACCAGGCACCACTGGATCTGGAGACGGTGACAGGTGCATAGGTGTCAGGGCCTGGGCACGTGGGCTGCCCCTGTCCCTCGCTGTCCCAGCCCCTACCTTCTGCCAGACGTCCTCCGTGCGCTCTGGGGCACTGCGGTAGGCTTGGGAGATGTCGCTCACGGGGAATGACATGAAGCGCAGGGTGTGGTTGCTGTGGGACACAGCAGCACAGCCGGGCGGGTGGGAGGGGAGGAGGGGAGGCCCCTGCTCCCCAGAACCCACATATCCCTCTCCCAGGACCTTTCCTAACATCTCCATGTAAATGGGCCCAGAGGCCTGCGATGGGGCTGGGGTCTCTCAGGCCAGGAGCCTGGCTCACTCACCTCTCCAGGGCCCTGGCGATGTCCAGGAAGCCCAGGGCAGATGTATTGTTCCGATCCCATAGGATGGTTCTGGGGGGAGGGTGAGCACCAGTTTTGTCTCGCCTCCCTCTGGGTGCTACTAGAAGTCAGGGACACAACCCCTCTAGAGCCCTCCCTCCTCTCCCGGGAAAGTCATGAGGTTGGCGCAGAGAGGGTTCCGGCAGCTGGGACACAGGGCAGCATGGAGGCAGGGAAGGAGGATCTTGTATGTGCAGGTGGGGAGGGGAGGGCTTAGGGGTTCCAGGTGTGGGCCCCACCTGAGGGAGGAGTTTATCTGCAGGGCTTTCGACAGCATCTTGGCCCCGATGTCCTCCATGCCATTGCCACTCAGATCCACCTTGGCCAGGCACGTGTTGCTGCCCAGGGCATTGATGAGGATGCTGGTGCGCAGCTTCAGCCGGGAGTCTGCTACCGACAGCGACTGCAGGGACTGGCGGCAAGCGGGGGTTGGCCGGGTCCCTGCAGCCCGCCCTGCCCCTCGGGTGCCCTCCCAGGCTCGGTCACTCACACAGTCCTCCTCCTGGATCAGCTGCACCAGCTTGTGGAGGATTTCCTCCAGGGTCCTGTGGGGAGTCAGGGCTCAGAATCGGAGGGGAGGGGACCGGGCCATGCTATCGGAGCAGGAGAGCGGTGGCCAGGGTGCTACAGTATGCCACGGAGAACGGGCCAAGTGATGGGATGAGGGTCTGAGGGGCCTCACTTGGCCTTGACATTGAAGTTCTTGCCCAGGAACAGGTGCTTGAGGGACTTGTTCTTGCCAAGTGCAGGCACCAGAGTCAGGAGGTCTGAGTCGAACCCTGGTCAGTGGACAGGAGAGGCCTTGGCCTTGAGTTCAGAGCTTAGTGGAGTCTCCTCCGGGCTTCTTCCCCAGGCTCTGGGCTCCTGTTCCCACCTGGTCTCTGGAGAAGGGAGGCGCCCCTACTCACCATTGTCAGACAGATCCAGGCTGCCCACACAGGTGACGGCCCCCAGCTGCTCCTGCAAGGCCTGGGCTCCCGCCGAGCGGAGCTGCAGGGGAACGCCAGGATTGGTGTGGGAACAGGGCACCCTTAATGCTTGGGAGTCCAGAGCAGTCTTGCCAGGACTCAAGGTTGCAGCAGGTCTTGGGTGGAGTAGAATCAGGGCTCCCTTTATCCAGAACCCATCTTTCCCGAAAGCTCTGTCTTCCTCTACAGCCACAGGCAGCTACTTCTAGATCAGCTTGCTCCTGCCCTCTGGTGGGGAAGCCTGGTATCTCCCGCCCCAAGGCCTCAGGGCACATTGAAAACCAGCAGCCCCTGGCAAGGTGGGCCAGAGGCAGCACAGGCTTGGGGGGTGGGGGGTGGTGAGCAGCAGCAGGGGTGGGAAGGGAAGTGGAGGTGTGCTCAGGTCAGGGTCGCAGAGGTGAGGCGGAGCCAGAGTTTGTCTTGGGTCCGAGCCACGGATGCTGGGGCGAGGGAGGGGCCCGCGGGCTCACCTCACAGCTGCTGAGGTCCAGGTGCAGGTCACTGAGGTGGCTGTTGAGGGAGAGGCCGTGAAGCAGCGCCCTGTGGGAGGAAGGCCAGCAGGCCCGCCTTTACCCCTCTGCTGCTCTGCAGCGTGTCCCCTGGACGCCCCCCAAGCCCGCACCCACCCGACCTGAGGGCCTCCAGCGGCAGCCTCGTGGCCGACAGGTTGACGTGGCTCAGGGTGTAGGCGCTGCTGAAGAACTGCTTGAAGGCAGGCGGGGCCTCCCGGCCCTTCCTGGGGAGGGAGACTCCAGCTCAGCCAGGGAGGGGAGACTCCAGCTCGGCCAGGGAGGGGAGACTCCAGCTCAGCCAGGGAGGGGAGACTCCAGCTTCGGCCCAGGGAGGGGAGACTCCAGCTCAGCCAGGGAGGGGAGACTCCAGCTCGGCCAGGCCCAGCACCCTGCACCCCCGCGTGCTCCCACCTGTGAGAGCAGCTGTTGCGGGCCAGGTTGAGGTAGGTGAGGTGGGAGCAGCAGCCGTGGAGCAGGGCACCCAGAAGCTGTGGGGAGTGACATGGAGGGCCTCAGAGGGGCTGGGGGCGGGGCGGGTGGGGGCTCCCGCCTTGTCCCCCCACCCCTCCTCGGGCCAGGTTAGGGCTCCTCATTGTCTAGGATAGGCTGTGAACCCCACCCTGTGGAAAGCGGTCTACACCCTGCTTGGCAGGCAGGTGCACCTGTTCATGCTAGGGAGAGCCTCCAGGGCCACTGGCCATGGCTGGGGAGCAGAGCCAGGGCCGAGGCCTCTGGGCCTGGCTAGAGGGCACCCAGGCAGGAAGGCGCTCCAGACAGCACTGTGTAACTCAGCAGAAGCTGTCCTCAGGGAGGGGAGATGGAGACCTGCCCTGGACTCACTCCCTGTCCCCAGCCCCTCACCAGGTCGATGGTACAGTCGGTTCCGGACAGGTCCAGGTGCACCAGGGCGTTGGGCTGGGCCAGGAAACTGTAGAGGGCCTGGAGAAGGCAGGTCAGAGAGGCTGCAGGGGAAGGGGCAAGAGAGTCCCTCCACCCCTAGGGGACACGCACGGCTGTGGTCCCAGAGTCCAGGCCCTGACCCGACTCTGCTTCTGCAGGGGCCTGCGGCTCCCTTCTACTGACTCACATTGGCCTCGTCTGTGGCGAGCAGCCCAGGGTTCTTGCTCAGGTCCAGGTATCGCAGGGAGCTGGCAAAGGCTGGGTTGGCCCCGAAAGTCTGGCCCAGCGCCTGGAGCCCTGGGCACAGCAGACACTGGGCTGGGTTGGCCCCCCGTCCTCACCTCGTCCCCTTGGGACATAGCTCTCCCTTCCTCCCCAAGCACGGCTCCTTTTCCTTCCTCCATCCCTGGGACAACTGGGGTAGCGTCTGACTGGGGTAACCTCTGGGCAGCATTGGCGACAGTGAGGTGGTGGGGGGAGGTCAGAGGTCAGGGGTCACAGCATGAGTACCTCGAGGGGAAATGGCAGTCTTGGCCAGGCACAGTTTGGTGAGGCCCGTGGGGAAGCAAAGGAGCTGTTGGCTCAGACTGAGGAAGCCTGGGAAGTGGAGAGAGAACGGGCCCAGTAAGAGGCTGGGCAATGGGTATGGGGGTGCAGAGTCAGACGGGGGCTCGATTGGGGGTGCAGGTTTGGGATTAAGGATGAAGGCATTGGGGCCGGGGCTGAATCAGGCTGGAGAGCCCCTGCTCAAACCCAGATTGGGCCCTGGGCTAGGAGAGGGGTCTGCGTTGTGGCGGGGATAGGATTCCGGGTTGGGGCTCACCCTTGTCCTCGATGGGGTTGTGGGACAGAGTGAGGGCATGCAGCACACAGCTCCCGTTCTCCCCAAACACCCCGGCCAGCTTCTGGACAAAGTCCCTTCAGGGAAGGGGAGGAAGGATTTGTCCGGAGCTGAGCCCCCAGTCCCAGCCCCTGGCTTCCCCTCCTCCTCTACCTGCCTGCCTGGCTGGGACTGCAATGCTTAGAGGTCCCCATAGCAGAGGGGAGCAGCTCAGGGCTTGCCAGGGAGCTTGTCACCACTCCGGAGTACCTGGGAGCATTCCGCATCATAGGAAGTTGAGCTGAGGCAAAACCTAGCTCTGGGTCCTCAAGACTGGAGCTGCCCACCCTGGTAGGTGGTTGATGGAAAAAGGGCACAGGGCCTGGAGTGTCCTGAGGAAAGGCCAGGGCATGGGGGGGTGGGGTGGGCGGGTCTGAGTCCCAGCTGGCTGGCTGCCTTGCTCGGTGCCCTGGTGGGCCTCAGCCTCCCCTTCTCTGTAAAGCCGGGAGCTGGATGTTGCAATTCAGAGGCCCACATCATGTTCTTAAGTTCTGGGAACCCTAAGACTACATCAAGGGGCACCACCGCCCATGTAGGAGGCCGGCCTCACGTCTTAAGTCCAGCATTGTCCAGCACCAGCTCCTCAAGGCTTCCAGACTTGCTCAGGGTGTGCAGCACCTGTTCCAGCACTTCTGAGCCCTGTAGACAGAGGGGGTCCTGCAAGCAGGAGCCAAGGAGGGGGCTCCCCTCCACTGCCCCAGCCCTCTCCTAGTTCCTACCAGCCTCAAGTCCTTGCAGTAGAGTTTGGTGAACCACTGGTTGTAGGCCAGGGCTGCCACCATTAGGGCTAAGTCTCTGTGGGAACAGTGAAGGGGGCAGGAAACTGGTGAGTGGGTGGCTGGGGTCAGAAAGAAGAAAGCAGGGTTGGGGTAGGCTGGGGAGAGCCTAGGGGGATAGATGGCCATGAGGGTGGGTGGAGTTGGGGAGACCAGGGCTGTGGCTGGGACCGAGGGGGATCCTGGGGAGGGCCAGGGTTGAGCTGTGGTTAGGAATTTGGGAGTTGAATCTGTCCCATTGCTTACCTGCTCTCCAAGTGGCTGAAATCCAAAAGATTGAACTCCCGGTTATCTTCGGCATGGTAGATGGTGTCCACATCCTTGGAGAGGTGGAACTGGCGTCACACCTGCTCCTCCTTTCTCCGCCCCCTCCCTCCAGGCCCCACCCATCCACTGTCCAACATACCCATTGCACTTCCTCCCGGCAGTGCAGCCCATTGTAGTCACACAGGGCAGCGTAGGTCTCAGAGAAACCACCTGTGGGCAGGGGCAGGAGGCACAGGCTGGCTCCCAGAGGGTAAGGGGACTAGCCCTGGGGTCCAAGGAATGGTCAAGGTCACTTCACGTGCCAAGCCGTGAACCTCTGAGGTCTGGGAGCTGTGCAATCCTCAGCCCAGGCAATCCCCCCTCTCCACCTGCCCCTGACAAACCTCTGTGCACTATGTGTTCTGGACGAGGGCCCAGTGGGTTGAGCCCCACGCCCCTCATGCCTGCCCCTGCTCACCGCAGACACTATGAGTAGTAGACGTGGAAGTTTCGGAGTTGGGGGATGTGTCTCGGGGCCCCTCTGGGGTGTCTGCATTTCCACGGCGGATAAGACACCTGCAAAATGAACACATCATCCCAGAGACGGGTGGAAAGAGGCTCTCAACTCTTCCCCTGCCGTGGTTTCTGGGGCCCCTGGGAAAAGCAGCCAGCGCGAGCGAAGGGGATGTCTCCCTGTCGCCTAATCCCTTGGCAGACCCCTCCTTTGCCACTCACCCAGGGCCAGGGCAGACCTTGGAGAGGGCAGAGCTCACATGTCTCGTCACCTGGTCCACGCTCTCAGCCGATGGAAGCCGCATGCTCACCATGCCACGCTCTGTCTCCACCAGGATCTGGGGGAGAGGGAGCGGCAGAGCCTCACATATCCACTGCCTCCTCGGGCTGGCCCGGGAGTGGGGCCCCGAGCGCCGGTGCACACCTGATTCTGACTGAGCGTGTTGAAGGCCCGGATCTCCAGGACATTGAAGGAGCTCTCCACCTGGGAGGGATGGGTGTGCTCAGCTCTTGGCAAGGGCCTGGGTCACCAGGCTGGCAGGGGGCATGCCTTGTGCTCTCCCATGTCTCAGCCCAACTCACCTTGGCAGGGACTTTAAAGGGAAAGAGGTGGAGGCGCCAGGACGTCAGGGCCTGCAGGGCAGACAAGAGGATCGGCGGCTCGTGGCAGCTGCTCGGGCCCTGGTCCCCCTGCCCTCCTGGAGCAGCCTCAGCTCTGCTCCAGGGGTCCCCCCTCTCTCTCCTGCCCGACCCCAGGCTCTGGGACATCCCCCTCCCCCAGGCTTTGTCTCCCCTGCCGCTGCTCCCCAGCCCAGCCACCCTCCCCACCTCCTCCCTGCCACAAGGCCACCACCCTCACCAGCACTCGGTCCTCAAACTTCTTGGGCTTTGTCTCCAGCTTCACTCGGTGTTGCTGAAGGACTGCCCCGTGGCTCAGGCACCTCCGGATGCTGTCTGTAGGCGGAGGAGGCCCACTCAGAGCTGCCCTGATCCCGGTCACCCCCACTCCCCTGGGCTTTCCAGATGGAAGCAGGGTCAGGGCCGGATGAGAGGAGAGAGAAGCAGAGACAGAAGAGGGACGAGGACCAAGAACTTTCCTTCTTGGGTGACTTTTCCTGTTAGAGGAGACTCTGGCTCCTGCCTGGTGTCCCTGGCTCAGGGGACAGTGGCGGAACGACGCCGTCTGTGGGAGGGTGCGTCTTACACTTCTGAGGGTGTGAAGGATTTTCCAAACCCACGCACTACAGCAGCCATCAACACAGACACAGTGAGTCAGTGGGCGGGGCCGTGGGGGCATCCCTTCCACCTCCCTCTAGGTGGTCTGTCTTTACTACAGTGCCTGCAAAGCCTTCGGAAGATGCTGGGAGCCAGAGTGTGGCATCGGTGGGGACAGAGACGTGTGAATGAGCCTGCTGCCCGGGAGCTCTGAGAGGCACAGAGCCAGGTGGTTCCTATGCCTGGGGGGGGGGGGGGGGGGGCCTGGAGGGTGGGAAGGGAAAGAGTTACTGTTTAAATGAACCCCATATCCATCTGCAGGCAGAGCCATCCAGGTACCCCATGGAGCGTGTTTGTGTGTGTGTGTGTGCACGCGCGTGCGTGTGTGCCCGCGAGTCGGCGGCTGTGAAGTGTGTGTACACACATCTCCTGATGGTGCTGGCGTGCGCCTGTAGGTGTGGGAAATCGCCACAGCGCAGCGTGCTTCCGAATATCCTTGAGCGTCCTGCTCTCTGCGTGGGCTAGCCTGTGCTCCCACCTCTGGGGGTCAGGGTTGTAGCCGCGCTAGGGGGCCGGGCCTTGGTTTGATCAGGTTCTGAGAACCATGCAAACAGGAGAGGCCTGGAGGTGTGGGTGGTGGGGAGTGGGCAGGGGGCAGGCTGGGACGGGGGCTACGGAAGGCGAGCCGCAGAGACCCTGCCTGCTCGCGGTCTTAGCTCCAATCTAGGGCCGCTTCCCCACTCCCTTTTTTGCCCCACCGGCCAGCCCGGCTCCCGCGGGTGGGGTGGGGTGGGGGGGTTCTCCAGGGCCAGTTCCGGGGCGGGGCCGAGAAGAGGGAGGGTGTGGAGCCAAAGGCGGTCAGGACCAGGGGCAGCGCTCGTCGCTCGGCGGGGCGGGCCTGGCCCCGCCCGGCGGGGAAGCAGGGACGCTCACGAGGGGGAGACCGGACGCCTTGCCGACGGGTGGGCCGGGAACGCTGGGAGAGAGCCCCAGGGAGTGCAAGGGAACTGCACCTGTCACCGAAGAGCGGGACGGGCGGCTCCAGGACAGGGAGGTCCTGATAGGGTGAGGCAAGGGGGTCGGCGGAGGATGCTCCGGGGACAGCGACGCCGGAGCTGGGATTCAGGGGCAGGGGTGAGCCTTGGAGCCGAGGTGCCCGGGGCGGGGTTGGGGGGAGTTGGTGGGCTGGGAGGCACCGGGCTGGAGCGCACCGCGGGCAGGAACGCACTGGGTCTGGGATGCTCCCTGACGGGGCGTCCCGGAGACCAAGGCAGCCTCGTACCTTGCAGCTCGCGGGTGAGCTCCACGCCGGCCTTGGCCATGGCGGCCGCTGCTGCTGCTGCTGCCGCTGCTGCAGAGGAGCTGCCGCCGCCGCCGCCGCTGCCGCTGCCGCCGGGGAGCCGCGGCACATGCTAGACCCGGCTCCGGCAGGGCCCGGGCGCTGAGCTCTGCAGCAGCGGCCGAGCCCGCTCCAGTCAGGGGCGGCTGCGCGAGCGCTCCTCCCCCCGCCTCGGAGCGCCGGGTCCCCCGCCCCGCCCGGGAGCCGCCGGACCGAGCATGCGCGCCGCGCAGCCGAGCCGCGTGAGACCCCGCGAGCGCGCTGGCGCCGACCCCCCCCCCCCCACCGCAGCCCCTAGCCCGCGCCTTGGTGAGAGGCCCGGCGCGTGTCGCCCGCTGTCCCGGCCGTCGTCACTGGGGCCGGGGGTGGCGTCCCTGCTTTCCGTGCCACGCACTCCTCGGGCACCGTAGGCAGAACCCGTTTCCTTTGTCTGTGGGCCTGGGTACGCCATCCCCAGGTCATCATTTCAGGCCCCCACCCCCACCCCTGCCGGCTCGGGACACGTCTAGCTCGTCCTTGCTGACCCGGGAGGGAGCTGGGGACCAAGGGCGATGCTAGGACGGCACCTGGCCGCACACCTGGGGGAGTTCGTCCCTCTTTCCCGCTCGCTCGCTCGCCCAGTCTCGGGGATCCCTGCGGCGTCCTTGGCACCATCCCCGGGGGTGTGAGGCTGAGAGTAGCGCCTGGGAGTTCCCATGCCACCATCGCCCAGCTGGCGGCTCTGCAGACACCTCCACCCCTGAGCGTGACGCTCGGGTCCTGGAGACGGGGAGGGGACCCGCGGTTCCAGCCTGCCTAGGCTTCGGTTCGCCGCTCAGCTACCAGACCTACGCACCGCACACGGGAGACATCATAACCAGTCGGTTCAAAGCAAAGCGATCATCTGCGTTTTATTTGCACGTCATTTGCAACTTGTGAAATTCCATGCTCCTTCCACTCCGGGTTCCTTCTCTTTCACAGCCCCTCACATTCCCCCAGAGGCCCAGGAAAAGAAGAAAAGAAAAGAAAAAGAAAAAGCTCTGTTGGTCCTTGCCAAGGAGGACTCGGCCTCCTCGGGCAGGCTTGCGCGGAGTTCCAGGGGGCAGGAAACCTTATTCCAGGCGCAGCAACAGGGGGAATCCTCATCAGACAACAGCCTGGCCGCAGGGGCGGCTGGACCCCTGCACGGGTCAGAGCTGCTTGTGTGTGCGGTGAGCTGTATGATTCAAAGCAGAGGTGGGGCAGGCCAGCTGATGAAGGCTGCCACCTGCCGCTTGGGGCGGGTGGCAGGGAGTCGGTGCCAAGTCCTCAGAGGCGGGATGGTGCTCCTCCAGCCACCACCACTGTCTCCCCAGTGATGTAGCTGGCGTCTTCGGAGCACAGGAAAGACACGATGCCCGCACATTCCTCTGGTTTGCCTAACCTGGGGGATTGAGAAGGCAAGGACTGGAGTAAGAATCTGATAGGCCAAGCTCACTTAACCCCAAATTCTCCCATGATTTTTGTGGGCCAATGTGCTGATGAGCTGTTACCACTTAGCATAAGCATAAACAGTGTACTTTGTTAAAACCACTGCACAGTAAATTCAGATAAATTGGAGGCACTGTGTTTTCTAGAGAGCTCAGGACACCAGAATCCAAAATCGTCAGATAAAGTAGTGAATGATGATTTACTAAAAAAAGAAAAAAAAAAAAAGTGTCGGGGGTCTGTGTGACACTAAATGGTGTGCTTAAAATGCTGCCATTTGTACAAATTCACAGACAGCCTTTTCAGGAATATGCTTTTGTTCTTAAAGTCATATTCATTTTGTAAGAATGTGCTCATTCCCATTCTATCGATGATTGCTCAATTAGGGAACCCTTGAATCTGATGGCCATACGATGCTGTAGAGGTGTAGGCAGACTAACTCAAATGTAGACCGTCTGGACTAGTGGTTCTCCACCCTGGATTCACGTTGCAATCATTTGGGAGGCTTACCAAAAATCACACGAAAACAAACCCAAATGCAACACAAGCCCTGGCCCCACCTGAACCAAAGAAGAATCTCTGGGAGTAGGGCCCGGACATGTGCAGTTTGTAAAGCTCCTGGGTGGTTCAGGTGTGCATCCAGGATTGAGGGACATGGGGCTGGATCATTCACTGGGGCTGTAGCTCATGCCGGGCATCAGAATGGCTTTGGGAGGACTTCAGGGACTTTGGGATTCTGGGGCCAGTTGAATTTGTCCTTGAGGGGACGAGATGGAGAAACGAAAGGCAAGGGAGTGCCCAGAGCCAGACAGTGGAGAGAGGCAGGGCAGTTAGGAGACAGGGCCCTGAACAGTACAGCCAGCCCACAGAGGGTATGTGTGTGGGGGGGCGATTTCTTCCCACAGAGGGAGTTGGAGGCTTAAGAAAGGTCTTTATTCCTTGTATTTGGGTTGTGTGATCACCAGCCTGAGCTTTAAACATGACTCTTTGTACAATGGGAACTGGAAAAGCACAGTTTGGGTTTTGGTCCCTGGTCTTCACAGATACCCGTGGAGTCTGTGTGTGTGTGTGTGTGTGTGTGCGCACACAAAGGAAGCGGGCTCCTTGCTCAGGCCACTGTGGATCAGCGTGAGAAGCCTGTGAGGCAGAGCTGTGTTGTTTGTGGCACTGAGACAGTGAGCGGGGGGCTGTGGCAGGGCCCAGACCTCGCGGTCTCTGACCCTCCTAACCCTCTCCTGTGACAGCCTTACCTTCTTATCCTCAACTTTTGTATGATGTTTTCCTCTTGTGCCTTGTCCTCCCACAACTGCAAGAAGAAGAGAAGTCTTGTCGTGGGCACCAGGAGGAAACCCGGGGACAGCGAGGGAGGACACAGCCTGGCCTCACGTCTGTTGAGAGCAAGGCTGGAGGGACTCCCCCATTCACTTCCTATTTCTTGCTGGCTCCCAGCTCTCCCCACTGCCCTCCTCCGTTTCATTCTTTCCAGGTCCAAGTGAGACATCTTGCTGGGTCTCCCAGTTCTCACCCGCGTCACAGGTTGTGAAACCGTGCGAGTGAGAAACTCAGGCTCCACCCTGTGGTGCGGGGAAGGAGTGTGTGGGCGACCCATCTGGGGAGGGTGGTGCAGACAGGGAATGTGGAGAAGCCCGGGGAGGTGGGTGGAAGTGGCTGGAGCGTACTCAGGTGCTGGGCTTCCTCGTGCAAGACGGTGGGTATCCCCGCCCTTTCCGGGGTCCCAGTGGGCTGCAGGGCCCCCCTTCCTTACCGCCTTACTGAAGCTGGTCTTGATGAGTCCCGGTGCCAGGCAGTTCACCCGGATGTTCTGGGCAGCCAGCTCCAGGGCCAGGTTCTTGGTAAGGCCCACCAAGGCTGTTTTACTAACATTATAAGGGCCCAGGCCCTGGGAGAAAGAAGAGAACACATTGGTCCCTTAGTTTCTGGGTCATTCTTGATGAAGGGTCGTTGCTCAACCAGGTTCCCCGGGAGGGTGGGCGGGTCAGCGTTAGGAAACAGTCTTGTGGCTCTGCTTCCCTAGGAGAGGGTTCGCGGGGACAAGGCTTGGACTCTGCAGGAAGGGGCTTGCTGCTCTGATTCTTCTTTGGGTGGCTGGAGGGGTGGAGAGGTGTGAGATGGGGGACAGGATGGGAGTGGGAAAGGGGGTCTTACACTGAATGGATTGAAGGCTGCTATGGAGGCCACGATCACCACGGAGCCGCCTCTGGAAAAGAAGAGAGATGACCTTCCCCCTGGCGGAGAGTGTGGCCCTCGGCCCCCACAGGACACGTCTCACCCAGGCCCCCTCGCCTTCTCTGTACCCTCGTTTCTCCATCTCTGGCACCACCGCCTTTGTCATCAGGGCCATGGCCTTCACGTTAATGTCCAGAATCTGAAGCCAAGAGGAGAAGGGGAAACAGCATGAGGGGAGGGCGCAGAGGAGGCAGGGCGGCAGGGTGTTAGGGAGGGGTGATGTATCTGGACCTTACACATGGGGACACAGGGGCCCAGGGAGAAGGCTCTCTCACCAGCTTGTCCAGCGGGGCTCTGACACGCGAGGTGCAGGTGGGAAGCAATGGAGCCTGGTTCATCTTCCCTAAGCAGCTAAGAATGGTTTGGCCCAAGATGAGCCTAAACTCTCAAGGCTGCCTTGAATTTAAGCGGGGTTTTCCGTGTGTTTTCAGAGCAGGGAGAGCCTGAGACTGGGTGGTCAGGGCAAAGTGGCCAGACTTTGGGCACCTGGGGTTGTTCCAAGCACTTCTCTGGCTCCTGGACTTAGGGACCGAGATGCTCTTGGCCCCTGGCAGGCATGCCTGGCTGGACACTACTGGGAAATGGGTCAGGATGAAGAGAAGCTGGGCCACAGTGCACAATCAGAATCCTCATGTCCCAAGGTAAAACAAATATGTGTTCCCTGGCACTGTTCTGGGTACTTCTGGGATGTCCCCTCCCATGCTGCCATGCCAACTTCTTTTTTTTTTTTTTTAAAGATTTATTTATTTATTTATTTATTTTTTATTTTTGACAGGCAGAGTGGACAGTGAGAGAGAGAGACAGAGAGAGAAAGGTCTTCCTTTTGCCGTTGGTTCACCCTCCAATGGCCGCCGCTGCAGCCGGCGCACTGTGCTGATCCGATGGCAGGAGCCGGGATTCAGGTGCTTTTCCTGGTCTCCCATGGGGTGCAGGGCCCAAGCACCTGGGCCATCCTCCACTGCACTCCCTGGCCATAGCAGAGAGCTGGCCTGGAAGAGGGGCAACCGGGACAGAATCCGGCGCCCTGACCGGGACTAGAACCCGGTGTGCCGGCGCCGCAAGGTGGAGGATTAGCCTATTGAGCCGCGGCGCCGGCTTGCCAACTTCTTATATTGGAAAATTTCAGTCTTACAGAGAAGTTGCAATAGTGCAATGGACAGCCAGATAGCTGTCACTCCGATTCCCTCATGGCTCCCAGTCTGTCCTATCTGCCTGAAGTTTTCTTGGAGGAACCAGCGAAGGTAACACTGGTGACACTGTGACACTGATGTATGCCTAAAGATTTCAGCACACAATTCTGGGGAGTAAGCACATTCTCTCCACAACCATGATTCAAGTTGATCATGCTAGTCTTAGCTATTATACTGTCCAAAAATAAAATGTCCCCAACTATCCTCCCAATTTCTGTGTTTTTTTTTTTTTTTTTTAATCCAGGGTAATGTCGAGGATCAATGATGGCATTTAGATTTAATGCGCTGTGGTGTTTTTAAAAAAGTAAACCAAAAGGGAAAAGCCCCTTGGCTTAGAAGGGATTTTCACGTGGTCTCTTTCTTCACAGCGGTCATGAACCATGAACGATGTTCCTTTAAAGAGTATCAGAAGCAGGGACTGGCTCCCTGCAGAGCCGTCTGGCACGCGGGTCTTGATGTGTGTGAAACACTGATAAACAAAGTATACTTTCGCATCCTTAAACTTTTGTGTCGAGAAATTAATTACCCACATCAGAGTAAAAAAAAAAAAGCAAAGCCATGGGAGATCATAAAAAAAATTTAACCATTTCCAAATCATATAGGAACATTCACCTCAGGAAATGAAGACAAATCTTTAATGGAGGCTTTATGATGAGAAGCTGAGGTGTGTGAACTGTATTACGAATACAATGTCATCCTACACATGCATGGAGAAACCAGTATTCTAGCACTCAGATTGAGATATCCGGATCTCAGATTTTCTGGACAACACAGTTAAGAAGAGAGTACAGCACCCCCCGCCCCCCCGCCCCCCCGGAGGCTGTGTGTTCCTCACACGGCAGTGACTTTGGGTATTTCACCACAAGTGGTTTGACTCAAGCAGCAGCTATTAATGTTTCCCAACTAATGCAAAACCATTCTTTTTTGGCAGTTGAAGAGGCTGAGTGGGCGTGTCAGCTGAAGTGCACTGGTTATTGGTGTGTCAGCTGCCCTGTGTCTTCTGGAAATAAACCAAGAAGACGGGAGATAAGCTCGTTGAGGGAGATGGAGCTGGTGAAAGGCAGCACTGGTGGTGACTGGTGGGGAGCAAGCGGAAGGAGCCAGAGCTGGGGAAGAGGAGCGACTGCAAGAGAAGGGCAGGGGAAGCCGCCCCCCCCCACCCCGGACCCCCCCTTTACAAGGTGCACGCCACGTGTGGAGCACAGCCCCGAGCCTGTGTTGAGTGTTTTCTTCGGAGGCCTGCTCCCTGCCATTTTAATCCCCTCTCACCTTGTCCCACACCTCCTCGGTGACATCCATTAGCTTTCCAAAGAAGGGGTTGACTGCAGCATTGGAGACCAGGATATCAATGCCTCCGTGGAGGTTCAGGGCCTAGGGGAGCAGTACAGTCCGGATCAGCACTGCAGGTGAGGAAGGAAGGCGCGCCTGTCAGCGCTGACAAAGGCACAGTCGTCAGGATGACAGCTCTTCTTGAAACATTTTCTCTCCCAAGCCACCCTAGGCTCCCCCCTGACCAGGTCACATCGTCTGATTTCTTTTGGTCTTTTCTTCCTGCCTCCTCGTCTTCAAAGGCTGTCGCTTTTGCTCTTCTCTTTACACGTTCCCTTTGGGGGAGCTCCTTCAATCTCATGGCTTCAACTCTCGCCTCAAAATCTATTTTGAGCCCCCCTTCCTTTTCACACTGCCTCCCAGCTCCAGGTCCCAAGTCCTCACTGTCTGGTTCTCCTTGAATGCGTGGCCATGGGGTCAAAGCAAACCTGTCCACGCTCAGCCTGAACGGAGGGCCCTTTGAGCTCTGCTGGCCTGGTGTCCTCATGGCAGGGGTGATGAACTGGAGGCCCAGGGGACTTATGTTTTAAGGTCGTGCTTGTATCGCTCAGTAAAGACATAGGAGGGCTGCCTAAGAACGGCCTGCTCGGTTGGTGCTGGCAGAGTTGAAGCGTTTTGCTCAGGGCAAGAAGGTAGTCAGTGGCCACAGGACTGAGGTTAGACTCCTACTTTGTAGCACAGGGCTACTTCAGAGCCCTCTGAAAGTGAGCCGGGATCGTTAGGAAACTGGCTGCCCAGGGGAGCCATGATGGGAGGACACCAGCCCGGGTTTAAAAGCAGTTCTACATTCAGTTATGGTACCATTCTCTCTCTGTCTCTCTCTCCCTCCCTCCCTCTCTCTATCTCTTGCCTGGAGGCAGGGAAGATTCAAGGCGGAAACTGAGATTGAAACTGAGAAAAACAGGGCAACGTCTCACCTCCTTCGTCAGCTGTAAGTGGTTGGTGAAGGGACGTGCTGCAGTCATGAAGAGCCAGGCAGGATCTGCCAGGCAGGGTTTTCAATCCTAAGCCACCCTGGAACCAGAGTTTGTATTTGCCCAAAGCTGGCAATTGTGATGCCTTGGGCAAGCAGCACTAAACGGGCCCTGGGCCCTCCATCAACTTCGTGCTTCAGATTTGGCGCACAGAGGGGTGCTATTAATCACGTGCACCATCTGCCAGCTTCCCATCTTAACGCATTATTCTTGCTAACTAGGTGCTAAGCGTAGTTGATTCTACAGTGCTGCAAGAACGTCTGGGCTGTCAACATGTAAATCTCACAAAAGTCACATCATCTTTTAACATCAGGATTGATACTTTTTCTTTCTTCTTCTTTTTTTGCTTTTTGACAGTCAGAGTTAGTGAGAGAGACAGAAAGAAAGGTCTTCCTTCCGTTGGTTCACCCCCAAATGGTTGCTACGGCTGGCACGCTGCGCTGATCCAAAGCCAGGAGCCAGGTGCTTCCTCCTAGTCTCCCATGTGGGTGGGGATTGATACTTTCTCATGCCCTCTGAATTTTGGTGTCCTGGTGCAGACTCCCATCACCTGCTTTGGCTCTGGTGTACGCCTGGCCTATGATGATGAACTTGAAAGTGCGGAGTAAGTCAGGAAGTGGTGGGTGCTGTGTCCTGAGCATGCGTGTTTGAGGCGAGGAGATGGCGGGCTGTGCCAGAAGCACCCGGAGAGCTTCGCCCTGCTGCACACCCCACCCGCTCTCCTCCTGGTCTTTTGGCACAGAGAGGAGGAGGAAGCCGGGTTTGATTGAATATGGACAAAAAATCATAAAAGATGAATAATAAAGGTACTTGTGACCACCCAGGTGTCCTCTTTTCTTAAATAAAAAAAATTGAGAGAGGGAGGGGAGGAGAGAGAGAGAGAGAGAGAGAGAGAGAGAGAGAGAGAGAGAGAGAGAGAGATGGATATTCCATTTTCTGGTTCACTCCTCAAATGCCTGCAATGGATGCTGGTGGGAGTGATGGGGTGAAGCTGGAGCCTAGGAACTCAACCAGGCTGCCTAAGTGGGTGGCAGGAACCCACCTGCTTCAGCCATCGCCACTACCTCCCAGGGACTGCCTTAGCAAGAGGTTGGAGTCTGGAGCTGGAGGTGGGTATGGGACTCTGATGCAGGCTCTCTGATGGAGGATGCAGGCTAGGCGCGGTCAGGAGTTGTTTGTGCCGTGTCCTGGTAGTCATGTTTTTCTTTTTAGAAAGTTACAATCAAGTGGAGAGGTGGCTCATCTGGCTCCCACTGCCCAGGTCCTTAGAAGCTTCACAGTGGGAGGAGGAGGCTTGGGGGGGTGGGGCGGCTATTCCCAGGGCAGCAGCTTTCCTCATTGCAGGGTGACAGCAGGCAGGAGGCAGAGCACATGCGGAACGGGTGGCAGTTCTCCCATCCTTCCCTGCCAACCCTGGTCCCACACCACTGCCTGCCCGAGAGCCACGTCTCCCATCCCTCCCTGCCAACCCTGGTCCCACACCACTGCCTGCCCGAGAGCCAAGTCTCCCGTCCCTCCCTGCCAACCCTGGTCCCACACCACTGCCTGCCTGAGAGCCACTTTTGGCTCACATTCCTATTTCCAGTTCCTCGATAGGAGGTTGGTACAATCTCGGCTGGTTCCCATTAACATCTCTTGGGCACATTCGTTCTGGTCCCAGCCCGACTATTCTAGATATACACAATACACGACAGCAGCAGCTTCTCACAAATGTCCTGGCCTGGGGGTCTTCCCTATTACCCATCCTACCAGCACAGATTATCCTTCCCAGAACCACTTTCGTCTTGCTCAAGACCTCCCACGGGCACAGTTCAGGCACCATGTGGGATGCAAGCATCCATACTGGATTACAGGTTTGTGTCCCAGCTCCTCTGCTTTGGGTCTAGGTTCTTGCTAATGGGCACCCTGGGTGGCACCTCAAGTACCTGGGTCCTTGTCACCTGGGTGGGAGACCTAGATGGAGGTCCTTGTCTCCTGGCCCAGTCCTGACTGTTGTGGGGAATTTGGAGAGTGAACCAGCAGATGGAAGATCTCTTTTTCTGTCTCCTTGCATTAAAAACAAAAAAAAAAAAAAAAAAAAAAAAAAAAAAAAAAAAAAACTAACCAACCCAGAAAAATCTCACATGGCTGCTTATTTCCTACAACTGTCTCGCTCCTTTGGGAGGCTACGGAGGCTGCTGTCTCTGTTCACGCAGCCCGTTTCCCACAGTCCTCCTGAGCTGTGTTCTCTGCTCTGCACCACCAGGGCTCCCTTCTCCGCTTCAGTTCCTCCTCACTCTCTGTTCACCTCGTAAGGTCATTCAGAACCCTGCCCCCACTCCACCTGTCCAGTCCCACCCACTCTAGCTCAGGACCCCATGAAGTAGAACTGGGGGAGCCAGAAGATGTTGGCCCAGCAGGATTTTGCCATCAAATCACTGTATATATTTCATCCAGCCAGTCACCGGCCTGGCTCCCACACGTCTCCCCCAACCCTAAGAATCAAGGGCCGGGTCTCAGGCTCTGTTCAGCAGCCTGTGCCAGACAAGGTGACTTTCTTAGACTCACATTGAATTCCTTGCAATATACACATGAGCGTTCGCCAACGGTTCCTTAACACTATCTACCACACTACGGTCTACCATCGTTTAAGATCCTCTCCTTCAACCGTTGTCCAAATTATTTCTGCCAACCTTCCAATCTGTTAGCACAATCTCATACTTCCCGCGCTTGGGTAGGTTTGCCCTTCCATGCCAGGAAATAAAATGTGCCCTGAGCCTCCAGGGAACAGGGGCCTCTTTTGTGGGGTCTTCCGTATTTTCTTGGGCAGCTAGAAGGCTGGAGCCAAGTACCAGCTCTGACATTGGCACAGGCACTGCCTTTGAGACTAAAGTCCACATGGGCCCCTGAGGCCTGATCCTACCCTGGTGGGGAGGTGCCTGCTAGTCTGTGGGTAATCAGAAAGGAAGGGGGGCTCAGCAGGTCTGGCTTGGATCTCTGCTCTTTCCTTACTGGATGTGGGACCCTGGGAAGTAGCTCCAGGTGCCTGGACCGTCTCTCTACACAAGCCCGAAGAACAAGGCTGGCCTTGCTCGGTTGTTGTTGGGTTCAGAGAGATGCTGTGTAAGGCTCCACACACAGTAGGTGATTCGTACACGGCTGGTTGCTGCCTGTAGGTTCCCAGGTACTCTACCAGCTGAAGAACAGAGATATATTTTATTAGCTCTTGGATGGGAACATCTATTTTGTGACCAATTTGCCCTTCTCATCTGTCTAGGTTGGAAGCTATTGGAAAATCAGGACCAGCTTTTTTTTTTTTGGGGGGGGATACCCCAAGGGATAATGCAGACTAAAGCATGAGAGTGCTTTTTGATTCTTTGCCTGGGCTAGGATGATTCTGACTTTGGGATATTTTATTTTATTTTTTATTTTATTTATTTATTTATTTTTTTGACAGGCAGAGTGGACAGTGAGAGAGAGAGACAGAGAGAAAGGTCTTCCTTTGCCGTTGGTTCACCCTCCAATGGCCGCTGCGGCCGGCGCACCACGCTGATCCGATGGCAGGAGCCAGGAGCCAGGTGCTTTTCCTGGTCTCCCATGGGGTGCAGGGCCCAAGCACCTGGGCCATCCTCCACTGCACTCCCTGGCCACAGCAGAGAGCTGGCCTGGAAGAGGGGCAACCGGGACAGAATCCGGCGCCCCGACGGGACTAGAACCCGGTGTGCCGGCGCCGCTAGGCGGAGGATTAGCCTAGTGAGCTGCGGTGCCGGCCGACTTTGGGATATTGACAGAAGAGCAAGGCATGCAGGAGAAATTGCTGGGGGACTGGTGTGGAGATGCAGAACGCAGTCTGCTTTAGGCCACAGGGCTGCGTTGGATCTCACCAGTGCCATCCAGGAAAGCTGGGAAAGAGTTCAGCCTGGCTCCCTTCTGCCACCTCCTGGCTCTGTGCCCATACCCTGCCGCTCACCGTGGCCACCAGCCGTTCCCGATCCTCGGCCTTCCCCACGTGGCACACGGTGCCCGTCACACTCAGCCCCTCGGCCTGCAGTGCAGCCACCGCCCGGTCCACGTTCTGTTGCTTCCGGCTGCTGATGACCACGTGGGCCCCATCCTGGGCCAGACGCCGGGCGATGGCCAAGCCGATCCTATGGGCAGAGAGAGACAAAGGCTGTGAGGGCCTTCCCTGGGGGCAGAGGCTGACAGTATGGGTGCTGGAGGTGGCCTCCCTCCAGGTTTGAATTTCGGCTCTCCCTCTGAATGCCCTCCCGGAAGTAGGCTTAACGACACAGCCATCACCACGCAGCTGGCTTAGCTAGTTTGAAGATGCTCTTAGCGCCCAGCATCAGTTCCTGGGAACCGGCATCACCTCCACAGGCCCAGCCCCAGTGCCAGGCCCTGTACCCTCTGGTGATCAAGGAGCAGAAATGAGCTGGGCCTGTAGCAGCAGGGATTTCCCTGGTGAGCAGGTCTCACTTAGCCGAGTCCCCGTCCCAAATATCTTCCTTACTGCTCTGTGTCATTCTCCAGACTCTAGCCTCAGCTCCACAGACCACCACGGGGGAATGTACATATTCCCCCGAGAGCAGGGGTTTTAAGTTTTGCAGTTGTCAGCCATTATTAGCCTATGACATGCACTTGTGTTTTAGTTCTGTGAGGAGCTGGCAGAAATAGGATGGTGGAGAGTGGGGGGGGGGGGGGGACACTGGCTGGGCAGGGTAGGCCAAAATGTGCAAAACCCTGGTGCCCAGTCTAGGTCCGTGGTGACCAGTGGGCACACCAGTGGGGTGTCTGGAAATCTTGGTGGTGAATGGAAGTAGGGAACCCGGGCCTCTCTAGGGGCTCCAGTCTTCCCAGCCTCTAGGTGGGGCTGTGGATCGGGGCACGCCAAAGCGCCCGGACAGCGAGGGGCCCAGCGGTGTGGGAGGCAGCAGTGGCACAAGGGCAGGGACCAGAGGACATCGGGAGGGGCTTCAGGCCAGCCACGTGAGTCCTTTTTCTGCCCCGGGGCCGAATTCTGGCCGCGGATGAGGCCTGATGACAGGGTTCTGGGAGGCAAAGGACGCGAGGCCAGTACCTGTTTCCAGACAGCTAGGGCCTCGGAGACGCCGGGCCCCGACACTCACCCGTCGGTGGAGGCCGTTACGATGGCCACCTTATTCGCGAGCGGGTCCCGGCGGGTCACCCCAGAGCTGGCCATATGCACCGCCTTCCACGTCCGGGTACAGCCACCCAGCAGTACTCGCGCTTTATGCATGGCTCGGCCAGCAGGGCTAGGCTGCACTCTGCCCTGGGTAGGCGACCGCCCAGTAAGAGGGCAAGGGGCAGGACGAAGGGCGGGTTGCTTCCCCGCCTCGCTTCCCGCCTGCCGGCCCTCGGCACCGCGGAGCCAGCTTTGGCCACGGGCGCCCCCTGCCGGCGCCCCGCAGTCCGCCGTCAAGTTGGCCTTGCAGGGCCCGCTCGCCTGCTTGGACCCGCAGACTTTCCCTCGTCCCAGCTGCTCCTTCTATATCCTCTTGACTGCGTCTTTTCTGTGGGGTGAAGAGGGAACTTAGAGTTGGATGCTTATGTTTCCCCAGACCTCCATGAAACTGCTCCTCCAAGAAAGCCTGGGTGCAGGAATGCGACCTGCTACGGGAGTGCCAACGTGTTGAGTTCCCACAGAACACACCCTGCGAGGATAGGAGAGCCTGGGAGAGACATGTGGTGGGGAGTAGCTGGCCTAGGCCTGGCACCGGCATTCCCGCTGACCTAAGATCTTTTTTGTATTCATATCCTGGAGGGTAGATTCTGATCTCTATGGTAACCACTGTGCAGGGTCAGAGATGCTGACTGAACAGGTCTCTTATACCCTCCATCCAAGAGAATGTTCCCATTTTACAGAGGCCAAGCAGCAGCCAGGAGGCTGGAGGGGCCCCCGGCCTGCGGAGGAATAGAGAGGACCGACAAGCACCCAAATTCTCTCTGCCCACTGTCTTCCCAGGTCTCAGCCTCCATCCTAGCTCAATAAATATTTGTTGAATGCAACAGCGCTTTATGAACTGTAAACTACTAAACGCATAGTAATTATGGCCACCATATAGTAATTATTTTTGCTGCCACAGGCCAGACTTTTCATCTGTGAACTGAGGATGTGGAGTAGATGATGAATAAAGTCTTCACTAGCTATAAATTCTGTCTCCCAGACTTCAGCCTCCATTTCTGCCAAGTGGGCTGAAATGATCTCCCTCCTGGGTTTCTGGGAGACTTAATAAATCTGGGTGGCTTTATGGTACACCATAGAAAGGCCCCAGCAGACCCAGGTGCAAGCGACTGAATTGGTTTAACCCGGTGGCCTCCAAATGCCAGGCTGGGAATCAGAGCTCGTCCATGGCACCCTTTTCACAGTTTTGAGGCAAAATGAGAAACATAAAGACAATATAGTGAGTTGCATTTAAAAACTGAGCTTATTTAGCTCAACAAATAGTCTTTTATTCTGGAATGTGGTTTTACTCTCTCTTGTGTGTGTGTGTGTTAGTTTTTTCTTTGAGAAAAGATGATGAAAGCAGATGGGTGGGTTTGGAAGTGTTGTTTGTTGGTAAAATCACCAGTTTGGCAACCTTATGTCAATCCCTATGATTAGAGGAGAGAGAATCCTGCTCTACGAAATCCAGTGCTAGGGGTGGGTGACTGTTTAATAGAATTCGCACTTGCTAAAGGCTCATTGATTATGTGTGTAGGCCGGTGGCCAGCCCCGCGTTTACAGCATACTCCTCAACTGAGAAGTTGCAGCAGGGGCACTCAGCACGCCCTAATGAGATAAGAGAGCTTAAGTCTAATTTTCCCCTTGTCCAGGGAAAACTGACTCCCCGGCTGGTGCCCCTCAGTCTGAGCCTCCTGAATTATTGACGGAGGCTGGAGAGCGCCACACTCCTCTTCCTCCTCCAGGGTTCAGAGCTAATGCACTGTGGGAACCCTTCCCGGCGCTCTCCCCAGCAGCGCCTGGAGCTGGGGGAGGTGCGCAGGGGAACGCGGGGTTCCTAGGACAGGCCTGCAGGGCACGTTTAACCCCAGCTCCCACCCCCCGGAGCCAGCCACACCCAGGGGCTAAGGAGGGTGAGGGAGACCTCTCATGGAACAGTGAGGATTCTGGCAGAAGACGGCTGTGGCCTGGGAGCCCCGCCTTATCTGGGCAGGAGTGATCTGGGGTCTCCTGCACCCCTTCTTTTAGGGGAGCACAGGGACATTAGGGAGCAACTCTAGCAACGGCGCGAAGGGCAGAAGGAAGGCAAGAGCTACGGGGGTGCCTAGCTCGGGCTCCTCATCAAGCTGGTTTGTTGGAGGTGGAGGCGGGATATCTTCAGGGGGAATACATACATGCTGCGTGGGAGTATCTCTTTGCAATGGGAACTTTCACAGGCACAGAGGTTGTTCTTGTATGGAGGTGGCACCATCTGTCTACCGCGAGCGAATGCCTTTGTGATTTTAGGGCTCCCCTCTCATCTTCTTCAACGGCTGACTGTGAGGGCGCTCACCTGGGCTGGAATTCAAGTCCTGAGTTTTGCAATAGATCATCAGGTCATGCATTCGTTAACATGCGTGGGGCTTGCACAATGTGGGGGACCAGTGTGGGGGTGGGACCAGGGCCAAGGAGAGTCAGTGATAAGAATGTGGACAACATGCACTCCCTGAGTGTCGGCAGATGTTGGGTGCTTTTTATACATTTTATCGAATATTTCTAATCTGGTGAGGTGGACACTTTTCTCTCCATGTGTGAAACCAGAGAGAGTCATGACAACCTGACCCACTGTCCCTGTCATTTTTCTGGTGTGGTTGAGATTTTCATAGAAATTCTGGATTGGAATTTTACTTTCATGGTCAGTGTGTTATTTTTTTTTTTTTTATTTGTGTGTGTGTTATTGTTTTAATCATTAAAATATATCGCCTTTAATTTATAAGCATAACATGTGCTCAGGATTTTCCAAAGGGACAGAAGTGATGTGAAAAGCAGAAAACAGCATCCTTGTGCTTCTTTTACCTGTTCCCTACATAGCTCTTACTCTTGTGTATCCTGCCAGAAGTTTTTCTATACATTTGCATGCATTTTTCTCTTAAAAAACCTTTCTCATAAATAGGATGACACTATACATATAATGGAACTTCAAAAATTCATGGAAAAATTAAAAGATTATATGCATTTTCCTCCTGTGAATGTCTTACTGGCCTTCCAATTCTTTTTTATTTTTTAAAGATTTATTTATTTATTTGAAAATCAGTTACAGAGAGAAGGAGAAGCAGAGAGAGAGAGAGAGAGAGAGGTAGAGACAGAGAGAGAAGTCTTCCATCTGCTGGTTTACTCCCCAGTTGCCACAATGGCCAGAGTTGAGCTGATCCAAGGCAAGGAGCTTCTTTCTGGTCTCCCATGCAGGTGCAGAGGCCCAAGGACTTGGGCCATCTTCTACTGCTTTCCCAGGCCATAGCAGAGATCTGGATCAGAAGTGGAGCAGCGAGGATTCGAACTGGTGCCCATATGGGATGCCGGCACTGCAGGCGGCTGCTTTACCCACTTTGCCACAGTGCCGGCCTCCTTTTTTAAAATTTATTTTTTTTGAAAGGCAGAGTAAGAGAGGCCGGAGCTGTGGCATAGCAGGTAAAGCTGCCACCTGCAGTGCCGGAATCTCATATGGGTACTGGTTCAAGTCCTGGCTGCCCCACTTCCCATCCAGCTCTCTGCTGTGGCCTGGGAAAGCAGTAGGAGATGGCCCAAGTGCTTGGGCCCCTGCACCTGCATGGGAGACCAGGAAGAAGCTCCTGGCTCCTGGCTTAGGATCAGCACAGCTCTGGCCATTGCAGCCATCTGGGGGGTGAACCAACGGATGGAAGACCTCTCTCTCTCTCTGTCTCTACCTCTCTCTTTAACTGTCTTTCAAATAAAAATAAAAATAAAAAAATAAAATAAATCTTAAAAAAATAAATAAAATATATTCTTGGGGGACTGTTCTGAGTGGTGTACAACAGATCTACTTGATTCTTTCCCTTTTAAAAATAACTGTCCAGATTCCATTGTGCAGATACTTCGCAATTTACTTAGCTAGTCTCCTTTGGAGGAACATTTAGGTAGCTTGCAGTGTTTCTCTATTGCAAACAGTGTTACTATGAACAATCTTGGCTGCACAGATTTTTGTGTTGGTGCAAATGAATTTGTACCCTGGGTCAGATGTTCTAAATGGATGGCTATGGCCAAATTACCTTTAAGAAGATTTAACTAGTTTTGATGGATTTATTTTTCTAAAGACGAACTTTACCTGTTGCCCTACCCCCTTTAAAAGGGTACCTAGATTGGCCTAAGCTTTGGCTGATGGCTGACACCCCGGGTTTCAGCGGCTGGAGGTCAGTAGGGATCCTGAGGCCCAGACTCGCCCTCTCAGCTCGTGCTCTGAGATTGCTGGCCCAGAGTTGCCAGACCCCAGGGTTTTTAAACAGAAGCTGACAATCTGGATGTTGATAGGAACTTTTTGATTTTTAAATGTTGGCAACTAATTCACTTTAGGAAAAAAAATCCCCAAACAAAACAGTGAATGGATCTGTAGGTGCCTATTTAAATGTAATGGATTATTAATTTGGTGAGAAATGGCTCCATTTAGAATCTCCTAATTCCACTGTATGGCTTATTCAGAGGCTAGTGTTTCGTGGTTTCCCCATTGCCCTGTTTGTAGGCAGCTGTTTGCGCACTGTCTAATAATCATCCATCCGGTGTTTGCGCAGGGCCTTTCAGGAACTCTGCATGGTGGCAGGTGGCGGAGTCTTACAAAATGGGCGTGGGCTTCTCTTCCCCTCGTGTCCAGGACGACTCTCCTCAGCTGTATTTGGGGAGGACTGTGGGGTGGGCCAATGTCCCATGTGGTTCTTCCATCTATTTTCTTTCTTTTTTTTTTTTAAGATTTTATTTTATTTATTTGAAAGAGTTGCAGAGAGAAAGGTAGACACACACACAGAATGAGAGCGAGAGCAAGAGCGAAAGAGAGAGAGAGAGAGAGAGAAGTCTTCCATCTTTCCATCCACTCCCCAAATGACCACAACAGCCAGAGCTGAGCTGATCTGAAGCCAGGAGGCAGGAGCTTATTCCAGGTCTCCCACATGGGGGCAGGGGCCCAAGGACTTGGACCATCTTCTGCTATCCCAGGTACATTAGCAGGGAGCTAGATCAGAAGTGAAGCAGCTAGGACTTGAACCAGTGTGCATATGGGATGCCACAGGCAGAGGCTTAACCTACTATAGCACTGGGCCCCCTCCCCCATTTATTTT